GGAGAGGGTCTGCGTTTTCCCAGAGCTTGGCCTCTGATTGGGGTGGGTGGGGTGGCGTGAACCAGCCAGCCATCTGCATGGCATGAACAAATGGGATCTGCAGGACTTTGGAGGACAAGGGTTATTTCTTAAAGCTGAGATGTTCTTGGACCTCCTTTGGGCCTGGAAGTGTGAATTAATTGAGCAGAGATATGAAGAGGGGGACATTAAGAAGAGGAGAGCAGTGAGAGAACCTGTTGTGTTTGGAAAGGACTGCAGTGGCGATCCTGCTACCGTTCCTTCTCTTCGATGTTGTTAGTTGTCCAATTGACTCCAGTGAAGACCTTGTCCATATGTAACTTGATGACAAAACCCCATGTATAACAGAATGAAATCGGGCAGAGCAGAAACATGCCTCTCCACGTACCATCTTCATGATAATTGGTGGGATGAGCCCACTGCTACATATATCTCAATTGAGAGTTTTTCCCTGCCTTCCATTAGTGTCCTTCTCAAGCATTTGTCCCTCCTGATAGGAAATAGCCTGTGATCCATAGGATCTTCATGGACTTATTTCTTGAAGTAGATAAAAACCCTTTCCTGCCTTAGTATGGAAGTGTTGTGGTAACCTTCTGAACATAGGTAACCCTGTTAGTGTCCAAATACTGTCGGCATCTTTCCCATCATCACAATAACATGCAAGCAATCACCACAGTACAACCAGCTGACAGATGAGCATGACTCCTTCCTATATCATTAGCTAATTGGAGTTTTTGTAACTATCTAACTTTGATCCTTCTTACTCTGTTGAAGCCTATTTCATACCACTACAAGCTGAAGGCAGTGGCTGTGTCAGAGTCAAAGGAGGTTTTGGTGTAAAAGGCAGGTGAGACACTTTACACAAAGGCAGCAAAAAGATGAGGGCCAGTTCTCAGTCAAGCTTTTGGCCACAAAAGATCAAAATAAAGCATCATCTCAAATATAAGAATGAGATTAAGGGCTACCGCTTACCAGGGAAGTGAGGGAAATAAAGAACATGGCTGTTCAATTAGTGGGACATATTTGAGGATAATAAAGTTAAAGTCCCACTTAATAAATGTAGATAAGGACTTAATATATTAGAAAAAAAAACAAACCCAAACAAAATCCCTTTCTTGTGTGTATACTTGAAAGTGCGGGTTTTGGGCTCTGCTTGGGGCTGTAGCCATGAGGTTGTCTCCATGCCCCCATAGTTGGAATCTGAGGAGCCAGGGAATGGGAAGCCCTTCAAACATCTAGGAATTTTAGATGTGCAGTACACATTCCCTGTGCACGTGACTCAGTATTGTATGGTTCAGTAGGACCTGCCATGGCTGGTGTTGGACATGCTTTATTAACTAGTAGAATTAAATTTCTTTTGGTGACTTTAGGATACTGGTTCCATTGTAGCTACGATTGTACAAAGTGAAGAATCCAGGAAAGAACTGCCAGAGAAGGAATTAAAAATTAAGATTTTTATCTGAAAGCATCTACCTTTATCCTGAAGGAAAAACTAAGAGCAGCAACAACAACTGAGAATCTTGTTCAGAGAACATTGATACAACTCAGAAGTCAGCGTACACAGACCCAAGATCAAGTACACAGACCATGTTGTATTATATAGTAAGAAGGCTTTCAATTAAGTAAATAAGATGCTACACACACACATATGAAAGTGTAGGTTTGGGGACATCATTTGAGACAAACAGAATGAGAAGCCCAAAAATGGGGTCTAGGAATCTATATTTTTAACAGACACCCTGGTGATAAAAACAAAACACAGCAACTCTATATCCTCAACATTTTCTTATAGTATTTATATAATTTTTTGGTAAAGAAGAATGTTTTAAAGGCAGAAGTCATTAGAGATTGATAAGTAAGTCTATATATAAATTTGCTAAAATAACGAATTTGTTAAAAAAGGGGAAATCGATCATAAACCAAAAATAAAATGCAAACAGTAAAACAAAAAAAGTTCAGAATACACAACCAGATTTAATATCCTTAAAATATCGTGAGCCCTTGTGTAAATAGCAAAACAAATACCTCTGTCAATAAATGTGCAAAGGACATGAATAGGTAATTTTTAAGAAATGTGACTGTCTAATAATATGTCATTATATATTTATTATTACTAGTAAAACATTTTTCATTTCTCTGGTTAGTAAAGGTTTTATTTTTGTTTTGTTTTTAATAGAATGCTACTGTTGGTGGAAAAAGCCTTTGGAGCCTAGGGGTTAAAAAGAATCTGGTAGCTAACCAGAAGGTTGGCATTTGAATCCACCAGCTACTCTGGGGGGAATAAAAGATGTGACAGTGTACTTCTGTTAAGATTTATTTACAGCCTTGGAAACGCTAAGGGGCATTTCTACTCTGTCCTGAACGATTGCTACTGGTTGAAATAAATTTCATGGCTGAAGATTCGTTTAATGTTGGTAAGAAGAGATTGAATCAGTCTTTCAAAAGAGAAATTTGTTAATAACTATCAAAAGCCTTAAAAATGTCTCATAGTCATGACTGAGAAATTTTATTTGTAGAAATTAATACACTTCTAGGAATAATCATGAGTGGTAATCACAAAAATGTTGCTACAAATAATGTCTGATTGTAAGAGGGAACTAGAAACAACATAAATTTCTAACAATACAAATTTGTTAAAATAATACTGTATATTCATGTCTTTTGATTTCCTGACTGCTGGTGTTAAGAGTGTTGATTGTGGAGCTAACTAAGCAAACTGACATTGTTAACAACCTCAATCTCTTCTCCATCTATCATGGTGCTACCAATTGGCCCAGTGGTGAAAATCTTTTTCTTCTTGGTGTTGAGCTTCAATCTATATTGAAGTCTACAGTCCTTTTAGCTCTTCTTCAGTTTCAGCAAGCAAGGTTGTTTAGGGGGGGAAAAAAAATAACATTTTGAAGAGTTATCTCTAACCCTGATACCTTCAAAGCAGGAATCATAGTGACCTTATAGAGCAAAGTAAAGAGCTACGCATAGAACTAGTTTTCAAGGTTGTATGTAATCTTTATGGGGTGAGAATCAGGAACCTTTTGGCCAAATGCTTAATCACTATGACATCAGGGCCCCTTTGTCACTCGATAATAAGATTACAAGTTGTTATTTTCTTTTCCATTGTTGGCAGAACTTTTTTCTGCATTTTCACCATCCATTGTAAAAAGGTTTTTTTCCATGTTATGAACAGTATAATAAAATTTGTTTTACATAATGTATCAAACCAAATCTACTACAGTTGAGTCCAAGCTTTCCACAATTATATATCTTTAAAGATTATAAATTTCTCCTGCAGAATGATTGGTAGGTTAAACCACTGACCTTTGGATTAGCAGCCCACACAGCTAAACCAGCATGCCACCAAGATTAATTTCCTTAGTGCCTCCAAAGTCTCAAGGACCCATAGTAGAGACAAGTGTTCTCTTTGGAATATCACCAGAGGCCTATGGTTAACTTACTTGTCATGTTGATTTTGGGCAAAACTAAAAAATAACCTGCAGTTTGGGCTTTGGAGAGAAGAAATGGCAACTAGTAGGTTTTATAGGGTCTGAGCAAGAAGCTCCCTCTAGATTGGATCTGTTTCTTCTGCCCAGGTTTTTCCATAACAGAAATATAAGGCCAACTGTAAAGGCTGTATTTGGCCCCACAGTTAACTTAATGACAAGGTGGGGTCTTAAAAGTTGGCTCTTTAGTGAGAGAAGATCTTCACCCTGAAACCCACAGCGTCCCTTTTCAGCAGGAAGTAGCTAAGAGAATACGCCATCCCCTTTTCCTTATGACTCAGGGGAAGTCTCTCTCAGGGAGGAGTGATAGGGAATGGCAAAGGACACACTGACAAAGAAGATTAATCAGAACTGGCTTTGACAAGCACTGTGGCATTTGGACAAGAACAAACTGGGAGGAGGGTAGAGAGAATAGTGCAACAATGAATGAATGGAAACCCAAAATCTCTGTAAATGTTTATGAAAATTAATAAAATATAATTATAGGAAAAAAATTAAAAAAAAAAAAGAAAAAAAAAAGTTGGCTCTTGCTCTCCTGGTGGCCCAGTGGAGGTTTGAATCCACTAGCTGCTCCGCTGAAGAAGCTCTGTGGGCGGTCTCTTCCTATGTGATTTATAGGCTCTGAAAACCCATTGGAGGCTCAGATACGATTTGTTTCCAACTCAAGGGCACCTAACTACTACACTATATCTGTAATATTCTGATTTAGGCTAGGCCTCTCACGTTTTAGTACAGATTCCGATTCTTAAATCAGGAGTGAGGACTGATAATGCATGTTAACCAGCTTCCAGGGAATTCCTTTGCTATTAGCCTGCGACTTTCACGTTGAACAGCCCAGATTTTGAAGCCAGTCAGCCACTTTTCCAATCCCTGCTCCCCTTGGCGCCTCAGTTTCCATGAGGATTTAATAATTTCTTACACTATCAGCACTTAGGACTGCATTCACTAAAAACTCCTGTATTTTCTTACGCAGATATTTTGTAGAGCCTGGCAGCGGATGAGCTAGGGTTTGACAAATGAACAAATGAATGAATAACCTTTAGGGAGAAAGTCTTTCCTTGGAGACTGGAGTTAGAGAAGGGAAGTGGGAGGGCCCATTGGAGGGAAGAGGCCCACCTCCCAGAAAGTTCGCTCCACCCGGTGGTCAGGAGAGCCTGGAGCGCCCGGAAGCCGGCGGCCTGGCGCCCCACGGACCCATGCGGCAGCTAGCGGAGGAGGGAGCGCCCCCGCCAGCCCTTTCGGTCTAGGGCGCAGGCGGCTCCGCCCCTTGGAACGTTAAGACGTCGGAGCATTCCACGGTTGCTACATCGTCGCGAGGGGCGGGGCGCCTGTCAGGGAAGCGGCGCGCGCGGGCGGCGGGCGGGCTAGGGTTCCACCGCGCAGTGCCAGCGCCAGCGCCAGACCCGCGTCGCACACTCTGCTGAAAGCTGCGCGCCGCCTTGCTCTCGAGTCTTCGCTCTCGCCCGGCCTGTGCGCTGCCTGAGTATGGAGCTTCTGTGCTGCGAGAATCTTCAGCAAACACCCCGGGCTGCGTTGGACTCGAAGCTGCTGGAGGACGAGCGTGTCCTGCAGACCTTGCTCAGCATGGAGGAGCGCTACTTGCCCTGCGTCTCCTACTTCCAGTGCGTGCAGAACGAGATCAAGCCGCACATGCGGAAGATGCTGGCGTACTGGATGTTGGAGGTACTGCTCGGATGGGTCCCCCGGCCCTCCCCACTCCCGCACCCGTGAATCTGGACATCCTGAGGCCACCCTCTTTCAACATCCTGGTCCCAACAACAAACGGCAAGATGCTTTTTTGGCGGCCCAGATCCCTGAGGCCTGGTCTTTGATTCAGACAATCTAAAAGGCAGCCCCCGTTGTGTCCCCCCCCCCTGCTTTTCCCCAACCTGAATCGCTCCCTCTGAACCTACTTCCAGTCATCTGGCACCCTAACCCTGTCTTTTTTGGGCGAGGAAAGCGGGACAGGGGCCACTCTCTCTTCTCCCCTCTTGCGCCTCCTGCCCCCCCCCACCCCCCGTCCGGTCTCCCAAGGAGAGCGAGCCTGGAAAACCCTGCGTTTGCCAGCCTCCGCCCTAAAGCCGGTTCTTGTGTCTTGTAGCGGGGTTCTGGCGAGGGAAGACGGTGGGGGTGGCGCTCGCCCTGTTACTGCGGACAGGGAAACGAAAAGTGCGGGAGGCAGCGGTAGGAGTCTCCTCCCTTCCCCTTGGGTGTGTGCAGTGGGTGGTGGTAATGAGGGGAAGGTCCCAGCCCTCTGGCTACCAGGAGTGCTTCTTCCGTCCTTCCCCCCCGTGGGGGGATGGGGAGTTTCAATTTGGAATCGAAGGAAGCACCCCTCCGGCCTACTCCCCCTCCCTAGGGAGCTGGAAAGAGGCATCATAGAGGAAGTGTAGGGGTCGCCACCTTGGGGAGGGTGCATCCTTCTTCATATTGGTCCTTATGGTCACTGTAAATACACTTAGCCCCGCTCTCATTTTTGTGCCTCCTTCCACGTTCCTTCTGCTCCCTCCTTTCCCAAGTCTTTGCCACCACAGTGACTATGTATCCTCCCCCAGGTGTGTGAGGAGCAGCAGTGTGAGGAGGAAGTCTTCCTCCTGGCTATGAACTACCTGGATCGATTCCTGTCCGCTGTTCCCACCCGTAAGACGCAGTTGCAGCTCCTGGGTTCGGTCTGCATGCTTCTGGCCTCGAAGCTGCGCGACAGCAAACCCCTGACCATCGAAAAACTTTGCATCTATTCCGACCATGCCATCTCTCATTTCCAAATGCTGGTGCGTAGCTGCCCCTCAAACACCCCCTGCCACCTCACTTCTCAGGAAAAGGAAAGTGAAGTCCATATAGAGAGGCTTTTTGGCCTCTGAGGACAAGGGAGCATGATCTCAGAGTCAAGCCAGAGCTGTATCATAAAAGGAACCGGGATAGAGCCTTTTGGTCTCCGAGGACGGGAGCATGATCTCAGAGGCAAGCCTGAGCAAAAGGAACGGGGGTAGGGAAGAAAAATGGGGCAGTGTGATGTTTAGGATAGCGCTGGCTCGGACTTGAGCTGCAAGCATGAATAAAACCCTTTCCTCCTGGCCTCCAGGGGGCGCCACTCCTTCCTGGTCTTTCCCCCAGATAGCAACAAGTCAAACTGCATGTCTACTACACTCACTAGTACTTTGCCTCTGGGTTTACAAAGCCACCACGAGTTATTTATTGGCAGCAGAAGGGCATGCCTGCACACCCCCACCGGGTGGTGGAGTGGAATGTGCCTCGTGTGGGGGAGGGGGCTGCCTTGGTTTCTTTATCCCAGGGTGGACTTTGCGATAGAAGTCTCCCAGAGCTGATTGAAGCCAGGCCCTGATTGCTCCAAGGCAAGGCTGGGGCGCTCTTCCTTGCACCTTCTTTCCTTTTCCTTGTATCGCAGGAAGGAACTCCTTCCCAACCCTCTGGTCCCTGTCCTCAATTCCGAGGAACTCAAGCAGCTGCTTTAGGTCTGGTGGAAACATCTTCCCTTCCCCCGAGCTGAGGGGCAGACAGGGAGCAGAGCTGCAGCTGCTTCCGATGTGATAATGATGCCCCCTCCCCTGGCACGCCCCTCTGACCAAGATCTTTCATAACCCTGTGGGGAGCTGCTGTCACCCCTGTGGTTTGGGAAGTGGCTCCGTGGGCCTCTTGCTGGGAAGTTGGCCGGCCGTGCCTGGCTCCTCCGCTGGAGAGTTATTGGGTTCTCTTCCCCCACTCCACTCTGAGCCTAGGGAGGAGATGGGAGAGCTGCTTGGCTCTGGAAGCGGTTTATGTAGGGTGTCTAGATCATCTCCTGGGAGCACAGGGCAGAGGGTGGGCGAGCTGGCACCTTCTCCACCTTGCTGTATGGGGCTGGCTGGCCAAGTCTTCTACTGACCCTGAGAGTAGTCTCTGGGCCCCATCTCCCGGGGAGGAGGGCAGCATGCAGTCGGCTGTGATTGGCTGGCGGAGAAGCCAGGGTACTGGGCCTGGGCCCGCCCCACTGCTGTGAATCGAGGAACAGGATTTCTCTTCCTGCCAAGTAGCTCTCAGAGATGGGAGTAGGAGGCCGGAGTTGGGAATCTGGGAGGCCCCACAGCTCTTTGTGATGAATCTGGTAGTTTTTGGCAAGTCTGGAGGAGGAGCTAGTTTCCAGGCCAGACAGCATGATTTATTTGGAGGGGTTTGGGCTAGAAGGTAGAAGGGAATTTCTTTTTTTGGGAAAAGATTGAGACAGCGCACGTGTGCGTCTGTGAGGGGAGTGTTTCAGAACAGGCAAAAGTACTGTTCCCTCATTTCCTCTGCCTGAGTTGGGGGTCAGATATGTGGATGGATTCCTGGGAGGTCAGAGTGTAGCTTCCTTGAAAGGTCAGGGTTGAAAATGACCTCAATGAATTCTGCTTAGTCCAAATCCTTGTGCAGTGAATGAGAGAAGGGTCTTTGGCTCAGCATTGCACTGAAGCATGGAAGTGTGGAATCTGGGCCTTCTGCTTTTATCCAGGTTGCCTTGAAGGACAGGGATGTGATAGATGTTGAGATCGTCAGGGGTAGCCTCTGTTATAGGGTAGGTGGACTGCCATCTCTCACAAGACCCTGCAGGCATGCAACAGGGAAGTCCCCCTCCCCCACTTGGAGGTCTGGCTTCCTGTTCATCCCTGAGTTAGGAGGTTGGCCACTGGAATGAGTACCAGGAGGAGAATCCTAGCTGGTCCTGCCCCACTCTGCCTCCAGGCCAGGCTGTTTACTGTGGGGCCTTGCGAAGGGCTCACGGCATGTTTGGGAGGATGCCACCTAGGCTGAGGCCAGCTGTGGCTGGGGGCCTGGAAGAAGTTGGGTGGGGTTACCATTTCTGCCTTAATAAGGGGTCAAACCCACGAGTTCCTTCCTGAGATAAAACAATGAAGAAATCCTCATATATGTAACTCGGAAATGGGGCCAACGCTGGGAACACCAGATGAGTGGATTGGGTGGGGCTCCCTCCCAGACCCAGCCATGGTTTATTGGCTTAGATTAGGGGGATAGTTTGGTCCCCAGGGGCTCATCTGGACTCATCCTGGCTTAGTCTCTACTTCACCTCCTGAGATTCAAGTGGCACTGGGCATTTTCTAGGTTCCAGTTCAAGGGGATGGATGGCATACTCGAGGATGACCCACCCAGGGGATGTGGGTTGGGTTGGGCAACCTCCCCTTTGAGGAACCTCAGTGTTTGTGTCACAGGAGGGGTGGCTTCATGCTCAGCTTGGTTCTTCAAGAGATCTTTGGAGTTATGGAGAATCTTGCTGCCTTATCCCAGAGAAACCGCATGTTCCTAGCGATGCCAGAACTATCGATCTCTCCAGTCTTTTTTCTTTTAAACCCTGAGTGCATTGATTGGAGTCCTGAATGAAATCAGGAGAAGGCCTGGGATTATGGCACTCCTGCCCTCTAAGATAAACCAGAAATAAGAGATAATCCACATAAAGCATTTAGTATAGGCACCCCAGCTGTTCCTTGCCCTGGATTGTAGAAGTGGAGTTCTAAGCTTTCTGGAAGTTGGATAGATGTCCTTCCTTTTGAGACTTTCCTTAACTTTCTCCCTTCAGTCTAAGACACTACTCTTTTCTCTAACCTGCAGGATTGGGAATTGCTGGTCCTGGGGAGGCTCAAGTGGGACATGGCTGCTGTGATTGCTCATGACTTCTTGCCTCTGATTCTGCACCGGATTTCTCTGCCCACCGATCGTGAAGAGTTGGTCAGAAAGCACGCCCAGACCTTTTTGGCCCTTTGTGCCACAGGTTAGAACCCTGTATACCTGTTTGCCCAATTGGGGAAGTAGAAAATGCTTGGAAGGGTGAGGTAACTAGAAGATTCTAATTTCTCTTCCTCTCAGAACTTATCTGGGAAAATATCTTTGCTGAGTCTCCCTGAATCAATACAAAGAAACAGCAGAATATAATCAGAGTTATATGACATCTGAGAGACCCCCAGTATATACAAAGCAAAACAGAGCTTAGGAGAAATTACTTGCCTGAGGTCTCAGGGGTCAGTTTGCAATCCAAGTTGCTTGATCCTAGTTGCATAGTGAGACATAATGAGAAAAATGTTTTTTATCCCCTGGACATTGGGAACTTTAGCAGTGGCCTTAACCTGCCCTGGACAAAGGGCTCTTTTCTGCTTCCTCTTATATCCGTGTCCTGCCCCACGCACTGTTCGGGTTTCCCATTATGCTGCTGCTCGGTTCATGTTGCTGGGTATAAACTAAAAGTTTTCGCTTACTGTCAAGTCACTTTTTTAGTTCTCCTTGTTTCATGGCTCCGTCTTTCTCTTTCTAAGATTACACCTTTGCCATGTACCCACCATCCATGATCGCCACGGGCAGCGTTGGGGCTGCAGTGCACGGCCTGGGTGCCACTACCATGTCTACGGATGAGCTCACGGAGGTGCTGGCGGGGATCACAGGCACTGAAGTGGTGAGTCCTAGGCAAGCTGTTCGTTGTTTATGGTGACTGTTCCCTGCGCCTCCAGTAGAGGGCGTTGTTCCCCCCCCAATTTTGTCTCTTCCACCAAATTTCAGGTCCTCCTCGCCTTGGGGCTTTGGTGGCTTTTTTATCTCTTGCTTTGGTCTGGAGGAGACCAAGTGTCTTGGGTGGGGTAAAAGGCACTGGCCCAGTGTGCCTTGTCCTTGCCAAGTGGTATGCTAGGGTAGGGGTGGGGTTTTAGTATCAGATGCAGGGCTGCTCTCACACCCTCTTGCCACATCCTCTTGCCAGTTTCTGAGAATTGAAGGTTGGTTCCTGGGGCCGGGCTATACCTCACCTCCTCAGACTTCCCTGTGTGCTGAGGGTGTGTTCCCTGTGTGTTCCCCTATACCTGCTGCCAGATTGGGGGTGGAAGTGAAGAATGGCTCATCCTCACTGTTCCCCCATGTTTCCAGGACTGCCTGCGGGCCTGCCAGGAACAGATTGAAACGGCACTCAGGGAGAGCCTCAGGGACACCAGGACCAACTCCAGTCCAGTGCCCAAAGCCCTCCGTGGCTCTAGCAACCTGGAAACCAGCCAGACCAGCACTCCTACAGATGTTACAGCAGTCAACCTGTAGCCTCGGAGAGGCCCCCTCAAGTGGCCATCAAGAGCAGAGGAGGGGACACTGCCCCCCACCCCATCTCTGCCCTTTAAGAATGAGCCACACCACTTCTAAAGCCTGAGGGGGCTCTTATTTCACCCCTCTTCAAGCCTAAAGGGCCAGGTCTACCTATCCCTGCACTGTGCACTAAGGGGCTGGGCTGACCTGTGTTTGGGTGGCTGGTCAAGCTCCTCCTTCCCCCCCTCCCCCCTGTATCTGAATAACTCCTTTCACAACTCTAGCTGGGGGTGGTCCGGGCTGGTCAGCGACCAAATTGAAGCACGTCAAATACAAACACCAGCATTCCTTATCGAGGTCCCTTTCTCTCTGGGGCTTTCATGTTCTAGACTGCCAAAATGCCTCAGTGCCTTCTAAGGGGTGTTGCCCCTTCTAGGGTTATTGCATTTGGATTGGGGTCCTTCTGAAGATGAAATTTCAGACATTCTGATAGACACATGTGAGAGGAAATAGTCTGTACTGCTCCTCTCATTACACTTTGGAAGCATCTGCATAATCCATGCTCATAGCTGCTCCTAGAGAAAAAGGCCTAGGCCTTAGGCAGAGGGGGCAAGAACCAACAGATTCCTCCTTGCTTTGCTTTTCCATGCAGCTTCTCCTGTGTGATTGAGGGGAGTCACTGCTGAAGGAAGAGGTTGTTTTAATTTATTAATTGCTTTGAGTACAACTGTGAGGAGGGTGTAGTGGGGCCTGCCTAGCCCACAAGTGGTGGTGACCCTGGTGGTTGCTGTACCCCTCCCCTCTGCTACTGGCTGGAGAATCTTTGTGGCCAAGGAGCTGCTATAGCCTGGAGTGGGGCCATGCCCCCCTCTCCCTTTGGTCCTCTGCCTGAAGACAAGGCAGAGATGCCCTGGAGGACAAGAGCCCCCTGCAATGGAGAGGGAGGCAAGTCCTTTTGACACACAGGTCTCTTCCTTATGGCCACAAGGTGTAGGCTGGTAGCCCAGGACCATAATGCTTTATATCAATAAATATTCTGGAATAAAGCTAACCCTGCCTTGGATGATTTTGTGGCCATAAAAACCCATTTCTAAGATGACTGGAAAAGGTAAGCTGCAATATCGCAAAGGGTCAGTTGGTATTCTTTTAGGTTTTGCAGGTCTCAGCCTCAAATATACTCAGTTGTTAAAATGTGACATTGCCTTGAGCATCACTGCTCTACAGAATCACATAGAAATGGGGCTTGAATAGGCTTGTATTGGCACAGGTGAAGGAAAGATCTGAAATGAACAGATGACTAGACACCATGTATACTGCAATCAATCTGGAACAAGACATATACTATGAAATAAATGGGGACTGGGAGAGGGATGAAAGAAAAATAAAACAAGGCAGGTGAAGGGAATATAAATCCATATGAAGGTTTGCTTAGACACTGTAATAATTGCATTAATTCATGGTAATTATCACCTATGAATATCTGAACAAACCAAACCCCAATGAGATTTGTAAACTTTCACTCAAAATAAATTAAATGAGGCAATGAGATGCAACACTCAAAAATGTCATCAGTGATAATTTAGGACCTGGATCTAGTTTGCGGATAGTAGTGGAAACTGCAGGGACTGAAGCTTTTGAGTTCTGAAGTCAGAGGAAATGGGAAGTTAACAGCAGATGTGGAGGGTGTGGCTCAGGATGCGGGAGCCCAAGGTGGCTGGTTGGTTTGAGGTATATGTTGTTGCCTTTTACTCAGTTCAACTCATCCGGGTGAATGTGAAACAGCATGGCATATCAGCAGATGGGAAATTTGTACTGGGACCAAATTTTTGTTCACGAATACATGTCTTGGAACGGACTAGCATTTTTAAAAGTCTGGGTTTTAGCTCTACTTTGCTCACCTCTGCCACTGCATCACAGAAACCCACCAACAAAGGGGTATTGCTGTGTTCCAATAAAAAAATTTATGGACACTGTAATCTGAATGTCATGAAATGGGCTCCTCCACTCCATTTAAAAAATGTAAACCTTTTTAAGCTTATGGGCTTCATGAAAATGGACATCGGGTGCTAGAGGGCTAAGCTCTGGTGCTGACTCCCATCTAATTCTTGGGCCTGACTTTTTTCTGGCTTTCCTTGGCCCTTTACCTTCATTTTGCTTGGTGAAGGGAATTCTTACTTAGTTGTTTCATCCACAGTAGGCATGACCATTGGCTGAATAACTTACTCCTGGTTGCGGACATCCTACCAACATAGGATGTCAGGGGAAGGCAGAGAGTACTGCCTGCTGGGGCTAACTGTCACCTGGAGGAACTTTAGAATGGAGTCCTATGGGTAAGGCTCACGAGGGGATGAGTTCTTAGAAAAAGACATCATCAGTCATGCTAGGAAAAGTGGAGGGTCAGAGAAAAAGACGACAATCCTCAAACAAGACGGACTGACACAGTGAGTGTAGCATGGGTTTGAGCATTCACAGACGGTGAGGCTGGCACAGGACAGGGCTAAGTCCCAATCTGTTCATCTGTTGCTATGCGTTGTAGTTAACTGGATGGTACCTAACAAGAACATGGGCAAGGATCCATTCCTAAGAGAGGCACAGGACAAGAGTACTTGCTAAATAGAGAAAAGCAGAAGGAAATCCATTAACTATACCAAAGGACAGAGGTAAAATAAATATATGGCTCTGTTTTTATCTCCATTCCAGTCACTAAAGCTAAGGCCCTGGGAGCAGGGGTAGAGTTGTCAAGTGAGATTTCACAACTGAGTAAAAACCAGGGCCTAGAATGGTAGGGTGAGCTTGCTGGACCCTCAGCCCTTCCTGTCCACTAGTGGGGAGGCACAGCTGCCCACTGTGACCCCTTTCTGCCCTGATCTGAGCCTGCTGGCACAAAGGTTCACTATCCTCACTCGCCACCAACAGGGTTCTGGTGACTTCCCAGGCCCCTTAGGTCAGGCTGGCTCTCTGCTTCTTTAGTCCATGGCGATAGTGGCATCTTCCACATCTCGGGGGACTGCACTCTGAAGCTCACGCCGGATCTCTGGGGACACCTGTGGGTGGGGCTGTAGCCGGAGCAGTTCCAGGAGGGCCTCCTTCTGATCCATGGCCAGGTCCGCCTTGTAGCGCTGGGCCAGGGTCAGGAGGCACTGATGCCAGAGCACAGGCAGTTCACGCTTCTCAGTCCGGAAGCCCAAGAAGTGGAAGACCAGGGCGTCCAGCACCCGGTAGGGCAGCGCGTACTTCTTGTCCAGCAGAAGTCGCAGGAAGATGCTGTTGGCACCACTGTACTCCATTTCAGCAATCTTCAGCATGGCCGCACTAGGAAGAAGGGGAGGCAGGCTGGGCTTAATGTGAGGGAAAGGTTGCAGGATTCTACTTTGTGGTGTGCTCCTGCTCTTTCCGCATCCTCTCTGAAGGATCCTTAGGGTAGCTGTCTTGGGTTTTCTGTTCACCCACCTCATGGCATTTTCCCTTGATGTCAGTTACCATCCCTACACACCTCCATCTCAAAACCTCTTGTCTTAGTATACAACCAGTGTTATGTCCAAGCAGTTTCTGCTTGCATTCCTTGTTCATTCATTCAACCGTCTACTGAGAACCTACTATGGCCAGGTACCGGGATCCTGCTTTCAAGGAATTCTGATTGTAGTGAGATGATGACACTTCTTGTAACCTTCACCACAACTGATGGCGTTAAACACACACAAACCCAGTACTATGCCCACCCTAACGCCCATCTCAAAGTCCTGTGATTCCACTGGATGTCAATCGACCAGTCCTCCCCCCTCACGTGCAACCAACACTACCTGGAGTGTAACACAGGGATGGAGCACTTGGTGATGATGCTCCCCACGATGATGGCTTCCCGGAGGGTACAGGTACCGGATTCACACAGCGGGATCAGAATCCCTGGGGAGGGTCAGAGGCGGGTCACTGTGAGCTCAAAGAAGAGGTCCAGTAGGAAGCGCTTTCCTCCAGGGACAGCCATTCCCATGACCGGCCTGCTGCTTTCAGCGAGAAGAGGCATGCCTGGCCTTCCTCATCCCTCACCCTCCTGGGCAACCCACCTTTGAACCAGGCTCCAGGCTTGAACAGGGCCTTCTTGAGTGCCATGTAGAGGTGGAAGTTTAGTCGTTTGTATTCGGCAATGTCATCTCGTACTCGGGGGAGCAGGACAAGATTGAAGAAGCGCTGAGCCATGCGTTCCTTCAGGTTAGAGGTGAAGATCCTAGTGGGGACAGGGAAGTTTCCAGATCACATGAACTTACCCTTCACTCAGTCTGGAGGATGCATGTAAGCAAAAAGCTTCTAAGGAAGATATGAAACTAGTAACTCCAAGGTCAGATTAGAGAGGGAATTGGAAGAGCAAGAAGATGAACTAAAACTAGGTGAACATTTCTCGGGGAGCTAGAGCTCCCCTACAGTGATGCCATTTCAGTTACTTGCCTCCTCTTCCAACTGTGGGTCCTCTACCCTGCTGGCCAGGAGTGACCCGAGCACACTCAGGAAGTCACAGACCCCTGAGGCCACTATGATGTCCCAGGGGTATAGTCAAATAGTTAGAAGAGGCTCTCCTAGAATCTCTTTACAAGGGATTCCCAACAGAGGCCTGGCCCCAAAAAAGGTAAAGAGGAAAAGCTGGGAAATGATGTTATGAAGAAGCATAAAAGCAAGCTCTGGGGAGCTAAAGGGTAATGAGAAAGGCAGTGAGAGGGTAGACTCAGGACCACCCTCGGCCCCATCCACACACCTCGTGGCCTGATACATGGCGGCTGCTGTCCAGGACTCAGGCTTGGTGATGTAGAGGATCTGTTCCCAGTCGGAGAGGGCAGGGATGATCTTAAACGCTTTGGGTAGTTTCCCACTTCGGTACTTTGATAACACCTGGGGTTGAGTGAGGTAAAATCATCATCATGTGTACATTAATGTGTACAGTGTCTGCCACAGACCAGATACCCAAGTCCTTGTCATACATGAACTCATTTAATCCTTACAACAGCTCATTAAGGAGTCGTTACTATTATCTTCCTCTTAGAAATGAGACAACAGACTAGAGTTATGTACCTTAATCAAGGTCACCAAGTCACTAAAGTGACGCAAAAGGAATTGGAATTTACACATTCCAACTCTGAAATCTGTTCTCTGTCACTATGCTGAACCTGGCATGAGACAGGGGCACCCAGAGTTTTTGGTGGGAACCCATAGCTGCTGCAAGGGTACCGCACCCTGGCTCTGCACTCAGCTCTTACCTCTCGGACTCCTGTGTAGACCTCGAGGACCCGTGGGTCCAGCTGGGGCATGGGGAAGCCCGACACTTCGGACATGACCGTCTCAACCTCTGTCTGCTTCTCAGTCAGCTTCTCCATGATGATGTCAGCCAGGGTACGTCTAGGAAGTGGGGAGGTGCCAGTCAGTCTAGCAAGCCCCAGATTCCCCAGTCCCGTGGGTATTGGAACCAGAGAGCCTACCGGGACATGTGGTCTTGCCCCTCTCTAGGTCTATTCACACACCACAGAACTGCAAGAGCAAAGGACCTGCAAGTCATTGAACTCAGGACGAAGGTGGCAGTATTGTGGATGCTGAGAACACAGATTCAAGTCAGACTACCTGGGTTCAAAAACTTCCAGTCCCAGCCTTAATGTTAACTGGGTATTTAACTTTACGTCTCAATATCTGTTTCCTCATCAGGTGGTCCAGATGGCTGACATGCTTGGTTACTAACTAAAAACTTGCTGGCTTTAATCCACCTGGGCATGCACTGGAAGAAAGGCATGGCAATCTACTGCTGGGGGGGGGGGGGGAAATCAGCCACTGAACACTTTAGGGACCATAGTTTTATTCTGACACATATGGGACTTCCATGCTTGATTCAGAATTAACTTGACAGCAAATGGTAATGGCACCAACCTCCCATGGTTAATGTAAGGGTTAACTAATAAGTGTTCATTACTTGGAATCCTTAGTACATAACAAGTGCACAATTAGTGTTGCTTATTTTAAAGACACACACATCATATGTTAATCTGTTAAGGTCTCTCCTTACTAATTACTAATGCCTGGTCTGGCCCCTCTACAGTGCCAGACACATCTTACTTTTATACCAAGATTTCTCAAATAGAAATTCTCCTGTCACCAAGGAGAGACAATGCCATACTATATGCCCTATTTTAATGTTTTAGAAATATTACTGAGATTGTTCATTTTCTCAATCTCTTTAAACAGACATCAAACGTGACCTTATTTTAATGGTACAGAATTAATGGGCTCTGCCTGGCACAATGATATCCTCAATGGTGCCGAAATGTATATTGTACTGCATATACTTTCTGAGGAGCCATTTAATACCAGGCAGTTTGTTTAGGACTTTTCAATATCACTATGGAAGGTACATATAAGCAGCAAGAGGCTTTGAAGTACACACAAAACATTCTTTCCTCTTTTAGTCATGTAACTCTTCAGTCTGTTTCCTTATTTGTAAATTAAAGAGAATAATAGTAACCCCTTAAAGGCTGTCATAAAGATTAAATAAGTTAATGTACTAAATGATTTATATTACTGTATTACATGTAGCCTGTGCAATAACTATTGGATATATTACTATGCCGTTTTTAAAGACTCAGGAATTGAGACTCAAGAGGACAATAATATACCAAGGTCAAAAAAACCAAAACCAAACTCACTTCAGTGGAGCTGATTCTGACTCACCGTAAACCTGTAGGAAAGAGTAGAAATACCCCACAGTGTTTCGGAGGTTGTAAATCTCCATGGGCACAGACTAGACTGCTTCATTTTTCACCCACAGAGTAGCTTGTAGGTTCAGTGCTTAATCATAACACCACTAGGACACCTACTGAAGGCCAAGTGGGAGAAAAAATGGCAAACTCTGGTCTTTTAGGCTCTAAAGTTTAGCTGCTTTACACTACAACTGTTGTTGTTATGTGCCGTCGAGTCACAGGCGGCTCATAGTGACCCTATGAAGGAGAGTCCCGAACACTTGACACTATAATAGACTGCCAAATTCATGGCAATCTGGATGTGTTTTCTGAAGACTCCAGGGGAGCCTTGCTGTGGAGCTTGTCAGGATTTGTCTCTGAAATAGGAGTTATGACCCACTGAGCAAAAGGCTCTCTGGTGGGACAAACAAACAAGCCCAGGTCCACAGGTTTGGTGACAGTGATTTCACTATTATTCTGTACCCTTAAATAAGCTGCCACCGAACTCAGCTTCCCTGTCCTTGCATTTATTATCAAAGAGATGCATAACCCAAAACAGCCTGAAGAATCAAGTACACATTCATGCTAACATCAGAGTTGGAATTAGTGAGGGACCATATCCTAGGCTGCCCTTCTCCTGGGCTAAAACCAGTAAGCTTAGATAAGTTCAGGGCTCAAAGTTTGCATATTTTGAAGCCAGCAGGGTTTTTTTAAAACTTTATTTTTTTGTGTGTGTGTGTACCGTCAAACCAGATCTGACTGGTACAGGAGGAGATTGCTCCTCCTTCTCCAGGAGAGCACCTGGTGGATTCAAACCACATACCGCTGGGATTGTAGTGCAGCTTCTTGCCACTAGGCCACCACAGCTCCCCTGAAGCCAGCTTTTATTTTGTTGTTTCTGTTGGAAGCCACTGAGAGTCAATTTCAACTCATGGTGACCTCAGGCAACAGAGGAGAAAACTGCCTATAGAGTTTTATTGGCTATAATTTTTTTCCTTGCCTTTATTCATTTTGTTGACACTAAACATAATAGCAAAACAGACACCAATTCAGATGTTTATATGGGTACAATTTAGTGACACTGATGACATTCTTTGAGTTGTGTAACCTTTCTCACTCTCCTTTTCCAAGTTGTTTCTCCCTTTTTAACATAAATTCACTGCTCTCTAAGGCTCCTATTAAACTTTTGAACTGTTGTCAATTTCAACCCATAGAGATAGATAGTTCTTTATTTTTTTCCAGAGAAGATAGTTGGTTTTCTTAGAGATTTTAATGAAAGTTTATAAAGAACTTGGATTTCCACTCACTCATCACTGCACACTTTCCCTCCCTGCCCCCTAGTTCACCTGTTTTTTTTTTTTTCTCGTTGTTATAAAGTCGTCGTGTTCCCCCCCCCCTTACTACGCAGCTCTTATTCTGGACTCCTATCATGTCAATAATACCTAACCATATATTTTTATATCGCTCTCTCCCTCGTCTGTTTCAATGCAGTGCACATTATTTAGTTTAGGTTGTTTACCTTTACCTTGTGGGGATGTGTTTGTTTTTTTTTTGACAGCAACTACAATAACTGCTGTGCAATGTTACCCTAATCAATGCAATTTCCCCATCACTGTAACTCCCCTCAGCCGTAATCTTTGCAAAGGCAGACAGCCACATCTTTCTCCATCAGAGCCAACATTCAGTTAGTGGCCATGCTCTCATTGTGCCACTAAAGCTCCTTACATTTATTATAAAACCCCAAAGCCAACCCACTGCTCTCAGGCTGACCCTATTATTAAATAAGACTAGAATTGGCCTGTAAGTTTCCAAGGCTGTAAATCCTAACAGAAATAGACAGCCTCATCATCTCCTGCAGGACAGATGGTGGGTCCAAACCACATTATCAGCTGAGTGTGTCATCACCACATCAACAGGATTCTTCATTTATTACGGATGGGACAGCTCTCAACCAGGTGCAAATTTGGCCACCTCAGGGCATATTTGACAATTTCTGGAGACATTTTCTGTTAACACTATTTTTGGGTGGTAGGGGGAGTTGCTACTGGTCATCTAATAAGGAGAGGTCAAGGACAAGGATCATACATTGCACACTACAGCCTCTAAAGAATTCTTGAGCACAAATGTGTACAGTGCCACCAAGTTTGAAAATCTCTGGAGTGAACAGAGTAATTGAGCTAAGAAAACAGCATGCTAAGATCAAATGCAATGGGTATAAAAAGACTCTTTGGAGCTATCGGCCAGAAAATCAGGACAGTTTTAGAACAGGTGGGGAAAGAGGGAAAATATATCCCAAGTCTCACGCAGAATGGCCCTTCAAAGATAGCCCTCTAAAACTCGGCAATGATGCACACCTATGTTTATTGCTGCGTTGTTCACAACAGCAAAGAGATGGAAACAACCGAAGTGCCCATCGACAAATGAATGGATAGAGAAGCTCTGGTATATTTATACAACGGAATACTACGCAGTACCAAAAAACAAGGAACTCATAAAATGTTACACAACATGGGTGACTCTAGAGGCATTATGCTGAGTTAAAATATGTCAGTCACAAACAAATACCACATAATGCCACCGTTATAAAACAGCACTGACACGGAGGTTGGGGAAAACTAAGAAATAATAAATAAAGAATAAATAATGTGTACTGCATTCAAACAGATGAAGAAAAGACTGTTTAAAAGGAATATATGATTATGTAATATTTGCATGATAACAGTTCAGAGCAGGAAGTGCATAGCACAGTGGACTGGGGCAGGGAGGAAATAGTACAACAATGAGTGAATGGTACTCCAAGTTTTCTGTTAACTTTCATTAAAAGCTCAACAAAAAAGAAAAAAAAAATACTGTTCTTGTCACACACACAAATAAAACTTGGCAATACTCAGACCTGTTCCACAGTTAAGGAATCAATAGCCTGCCAGAATATTAGCTTCCCTGTCCTCCAGGACTCATTATCCCAAATCCCAGGCCACCCTAGTGCCCTACCTGACAGGGGGGTTCTTATTCATGAACAGCTCAATAGCACGCTCATCCTCGGCATCCACGACCACCTCTGCATGGTGGCCCACCCCCGTCATTGTGGCAGCCTTCTCGAGGGTGGGCCACTCGTCGTCCTCATCATCTGACCCATCTTGTGGCACTCCTGGACCTAGAAGAGAGAGAAGACACAGGTGAGTATAGCAAGGAGGGGCATAGCCCAGTAATATAATCTAGTACAGGCCTCATGGTGTGCTTGTATGTGTATACAATGAAACAGATGATGTACATATTTTCTTCCTGTTCCCACAAGTACAATCCTGCTTAAGAATCAGAATGTACAATGAGGTAAGGATACTAGTAAATAATGGTTAGCACAATTTACTCAGTTAAAGCAGGAATGTTCTGAATGGTCCATGTGTTAACCAAATAATCTTTATAACACCAAGAAGTACTATTATTACAGCTAGTTTCAAATCAGGTCATTGAAGCATAGAAAAATTAAGCAGAAGGTAGTCTTCATTTAGATTCTGTGTTCCTTATCACTATTCAAGGGAGCTCAGGTGGCTTAGTGGTAAGAAATTACACTACCAACCCAAAGATAGGCAGTTTGAATCCTCCAGCTGCTATGAAGGAGGAGATGGGCAAGCTCTTGTGCAATTTACTGCCTCTAAAAACCCGCTAGAGTCAGCTCCAACTTGATGGTATACAATACTACTATTCTTTTAAAAAAATTATTAAATTTTATTAATTTTAATGAACATTTACAGAGATTTTGGGTTTTCATTTATTCATTGCTGCAACCAATACTACTATTCTATACACATGGTCTAAATAGTATTCTACGATATTATGCACGCATGCATGGTATATGTCAAAATAAGTGGCAACTCACTTAAGTTTGATCCTCTTTGCTTTAAAAATAGTATTAAACTCCAGGTGTAGCCTTCAGGTATTTGACTTGATTCTACCTACCTCATCATTGATTAACCCACTCATTCAACAAATACTGAGTGTTCGTGCTGTATGCTCTATTGCCTCATTGTTCTGAGTGTGGAAATAGATTAGAGAACAAGAGAAATAAAATTTTATTCTTGTAGAGCTTACATTCTAATTTGGGGAGACAATACAGGAACAAAGAAGGTACAAACATAGCCTGTAAACATATTGTGTTAAAATAAGATAAAGGATATGAGCAATGACTAGGGATGTTAGAATTGATGCCCTGAACTGTGGTGTTGGAGAAGAGTATTGAATAGACTGCTAAGAGAACAAACAGGTCCATCCTGAAGAGGGTTAACCTGGTTGCTCTCTGGAGGCAAGGATTCTGAAGCTTCATCTGACATACTTTGGACATTGTGCAATGAGAGACCAGTCCTTGGAGAGGACGTCATGCTTGGGAGAGTGGAGGGACAGCTCAGGATAGGAAGACCCTCAATGACATGGCTTGAGTCAGTGACTGGGGTAATGGGGGTAGGTGTATCAGAGACAATAAGATTGGTACAGGATAGAGCAGGATTTAGGGCTATTATACATAGAGGGTCACTATGAGTCGGGCACATAACAACAGATATGAAAAAAAATAGAAGTGGTGGAGGTGTTGCAATTTTAAAGAGTTTGGTCGGGGTATGCTTCTCTGGCATAAATCAAGGAAAGAGGCCTACATGAGAATGGGGGGGAAACAATGTAAGCAAAAAGAATAATAAGCATAAGAGTAGCCCTAAACTTCCATGTTAAAGGAAAAATGAAGCTTACATAGGCGTAATGGAGTAAAGTACAAAAGCAAGCGGAGTGTAAGAATCCAGACTGACAGTGTGCATTACAGGATTATACAAGGTAGGGCTCTGCAGATATTGCAATCTTCTAGCTGTTGAGAATGGACTTGCGGCAGGTTAACTAAATATTAATCAGGCTACCACAAAAACTCAGTTGAGGGATCAAGATGGCTTGAGAGAGGGTGGTGTTCCAAGTGGGAAGAAGATTTTTTTTTAAGAAGATATTTTGAAAGCAGATTCAAAATGACTTGACTGACTGGGGTTGTATGCTAAGTGGAGTAATAGACAGGGAGCCAAGGTTTCTGTCTTGAGCAATGGTAGCAATCATGCTACAAACTGAGATGAAAAAAAAATATAAGAAAAGGTTTTGGAAGAAAGGTCAGGATTTCAGTTCTGGACAGGTTTCAATCTGAGACCTCCAACTGGCGATGCCAAGCAGGATATGGTATTCAATCAGGGTTTCATGGGAGACATCAGAGCTGGAATACAAAGTTGGGAGTAGTTGCCAAAAATGCAACAGCACCACCACCAACAACAACAAAAGGTAAAGGTCTGGGGCGAGCAGAACACAGAAGCCCTGGCAAAGAAGACCGAGAGGTGAGGCAGTGGTAAAACATTACTGTGACGACTTAGCTCTAGCTGATCCTTAACTGACTGCAGGTTTCAGCTAAAAAGTCATGTAATCGGGAAAGCCCTCTACAATACCAGACTGACTACGCTGTTACCTGAGAGACGGTATTTTCATTATTAGAAATGTTTTATTCTAATTGTCTATTAAATTATCTGGCTTTAGATTCTTATGTCCTTAAGTCAGATAGTATTTGTCTTGCTCATTTCTGTATCCAAACTTCTAGCATAGTGTGAAGCCTGTAGTAAGGACCTTGAACATAAAAGTGCGCACAGTGGGGCTCAGGCTCCTACACCAATACCTCTGTAAGAGTGTTAATATGGATCCTATTTTTAAATTTTTTTAAAAATTTTATTTATTTGTGTGTGTGTACCGTCAAATCAGATCTGACTGGTACAGGAGGAGATTGTTCCTCCTTCTCCAGCAGAGCATCTGGTGGATTCGAACCGTGTACCTCTGAGATTGCAGTGCAGCTTCTTGCCACTAGGCCACCAGAGCTCGCCATGGATCCTATTTTTTATCCCAAGTTATTCCCTTCCCAATTACCTTGAAGTCACCCAGGCACAGCCAACGCCAATGCCCTTTCTCGCACCCCACGTCCCCTGTGGCTTACCCAGCCGCGTGGTGCGTTCCCTCGGCGCCGCGGACCTATCTCCAGCCCCATGTTCTGTCTCCAGCTCCTCCTGCTGCTGCCGGGCTTGTTGTAAAATCCGTCTGGTAAGTTGGGGGCCCACATATTCTTCCTCTTCTTCTCGGGTCCTGTGGCCTCTACGCTTTTCCCGGACCCCTGGCCGCACTGCGTCCGCAGTCAGGATCTGCTCCGCCAGAGGCGCATGTTTTTCCCGATCCCCGGCCCCGCGGGCCGGCTTAGATTTGGGCATTTCTTTCGGAAAAGTTGCCGAGTGAGCCACACGTGGGATCCGCAGACAGAAGCCGGTTGCGCACGCGCATTGAACTTAGTTCCCAAGAGGCCACGCTTCAGTTCCCAAAAAGCCACTCAAGCACAGTGCCCCTCAGCGTTCGGAGGCCAGAAGTGCCATCAGCGACAGCCGAGTCCCTGAAAGATCTTTGGGAAACGAATACATTTATTGCCTTTAAAGGTTTTACAAGCCGTGTAATCAAAGCCGTGCTTTATTAGCTTCTTGGAGACTGAGTTGAGATGTCCAAATGTACAGTTTTGGAGCTGCACGCTCGGCCCGGCTGGAATTAAGCAGATGACGTCACTCATACGTCACCAACGAGCGTCCTGGCGGGTCTTAACTCCTTGTGGGCGCGTCGAGTAGTCGCTGTGTTTGTGTACAACTTCCGGAACTCCTGCGCTTGAAACTTGCTTTAGTGGATTTGACGAGAGCGCAGCCTTTCAGGTGTTTGAGGCGACCGCCACCCCCCCCCCCCCCCCGGGCGTGTGATATCATGGGAGTCACTTGGTAAGGTTACCGGGGCCGTTCGATATTTTCGGGGACGAGGGTAGGGGTCGTTAAAGACCTTCGGCGCTTCGAGTAGACCCGGGAAAACAGCGAACAGGGCTTCCTCTCCCAGGGAGCTCAGAAGCTTGTGTGGATGCGCCCCTTCCGTCTTTTCTAGGATAAAACCTTTTTCAGGAAAAAGGTTTTATCCTGTAAAAAAAGGCGATGAGGCAATATCTCCTTCATTTTCTTCTTGCCCGTGGAGTCATAGCTTTACCAGGAGTGAGACTTCTGTCTGGGAAATAGAATCTCGGATCTGACACCTATCAGCAGGGGAAGGTGGAGGGAATGGGACGTAGGCAAAGAGGACAGTGTCGTTTTTAGGTTTTCTTCTACCCCTCCCAACAGCCTCAAAATTCAGTGATAACCAGGGTACATCTGGTGCCAGTTTGCTATTTTAACATGTTGGGTCTAGAAAAAAAGAAATTGTTGAAAATTAGGAGTTAAGGCTTCTAGTTGCTTCTTTTCTCCAGGAAATGTTGGATTAAGTACTTGGTTTCGTTTGTATGGACCTTTAATCTTTATCATGTTCAAAGAGGGCTGGAGACTGTGGACTTTTTAAAAAATGTTTTTCCTCACTCCTTGCTGTAGTGTCAGAAGTGACTCCTAGCTGATCGATCCTCTAGCATGTTACCAGAAGCTGTAAATTGCAGGGGAGGATATTCCGCATCATGCAGGTGATTGTAGACACATATACCACAGTTGATACCGTGATTCCTACTCCTCTGTAAGGGGGATATATTAGGGATGAGAGCAGAGAGTTTGCAGCGCAGTGGCCTAGGACCCTGAAAACCTCTGGAACACTGACCTTATTTTAGAGTCTTAATAGGAAGACCCTCGAAGAGATGGATTGATTCCGTTACTGGGATAGGTGTGTTGGAGACAGTGAGATTGGCAAGGGATAGAACTGGGTTTAGGGCTATTGTACATAGGGTCGCTATGAGTCGCAACTGACTCAATGACATGTAATATTACTTGTACATCATAGTTTCAGTTCAGGCATCCTCTTATGTATAAAATTAGGGCACATCATCTTTGCCTGTTAATGCTTTTTCTAATAGAGACCAATGACCAATTTTAGCAATATTAGGCTTCCTAGTAGTGCCAATTAGTTTTTGATCATTAAGTTATGCAGTGGCCTCCAAAGTTCATGAATATTTGACTGTCTTTGTTAAATACCACCTGTACTATTTATGAACACTTACTTTTAAGCATTTTCCCCCTTAAATATATTTTAAGGAGCCCTGGTGGTAGAGTATGAAATGTGTCAGACTGCTAACTGAAAGTTGTCAGCCATTTGAATCTAACAGCTGATTTGGTGGAGAAAGATGGGCAGTCTCTTCCTATAAAGGTATACACCCTCAAAAACCCAATGGAGGGCCCCTGTGAATTGGAGTGAACTCTACCACAGTGATTTTTGTTTGATTTTAGGTTTTAATGTATTTTAACCATCAGCTGCGTTCTTAGAGAGGCAGTCTAGTACAGTGGTTAATAACATAGGTATAGAAGTCAGGTTGTTTGGCTTTCAATCTTGGCTACCCCATTGGATGTGTGACTTTGGGCAAGTCCCAGCAGCCAACAACAGCTTCAGTTTTCTCATTTGTAGCACCTCATACAAAGCTGCTGTAAGAATTCAAAGAGTTACTACATGTAAAGGCTTTAAAGACATTGCCTGGCACAGAACATGGAAAGTGCTTGGTGATTTTTATCACTCCAAAGAGAAAGCAGCTTCACTTACCTTACAAGGAAATCTTGGAAATGACATTGTTTGCTTGTATTGATTGTTTTCTTAATTATATGTTGCCTCCTTCCCTAAAAGGTTATAAACTTGAGGTCCCGGTTCTCTTTGTTCCCTGGTTATTGACTAGAACTTTCTGCAGTGATGAAAATGTTCTGTAACTGCCCAGTACCTTAGCCCCTGGCTGTTGGGCTCTTGGAGTGGGAGTAACCCTCCAGCTGAGCAATTTTAACTTTAAATTCTAGGAACTTGTTTAAAGGTAAGTAGATATAGGCGGCTAGTGGTAACTTTATGTACAGCCCATGTTCAGAGCTTTAAGAGAGCTGGTAAAAATATCCTAATTCCATACAGGCTTACTCCACTGAAGAAAATGGTAGTAAGTATCCCTTTCTTGTGCTATGACTAAAATGCCAAGGCTACCTGCCACCTAAAATATTCTTCTGAATCAACGGCACTAATGCCATACTTGGGAAATACTAGTGTGTGAAGTTCATTGTACTTGTGTGAGAGTCCTGAGACCTGCACTTTATTGGAGTCACAGGCATGCTGGCTCATGGTAGGTGGCCTGATGAGCCTATGAGTAGGTGCTTCTGGGAGTGCTTGTGTGTCTCTAGTAGGATAACTTTGATCCTCTCCTTTCCAGTGTGTCCCAGATGCCTGTGGCAGAAGGCAAGAATGTTCAGCAGACTGTGGAGCTTCTCACCCGGAAGTTGGAGATGCTTGGGGCTGAGAAACAAGGAACATTTTGTGTGGACTGTGAAACTTACCACACAGCTTCATCTACCCTTGGTAGCCAGGGTGAGTGAGAGGGTCAGTAGAATGACAAGAACCTTACTTAGAGTCAGTGGACATTTGTGGTCTTTCACATACTTCTGCTAAGGGTGTAATTCTGAAAAATAAATTAATATTTGGTCTTTCATCTCTTAGACTCACACTGTTTTGGGCTGTTCTTACTTTAAACTGTTAAAAGCCGTGGGTTTTTTTTGTTTGTTTTGTGTTTTTTTTTAATCACGTGGGTTTTTATTTCAAATCGTTCTTACTGCTATCAAGTCAGAATCATCTCACAGATGATTCTCTAGTAATAATTTTCTGAAGCTGTAAACTACAGAGGACGAGATCGCCCATCCTTCTTAGAGCTGCAGGTGACTCTGGGTCACTTTTTTTTTTTTATTTTTTTAAATTTTATACTGGTTTATTTACAATATTCATATAAGTTGTTTTTTCCCCACCAGATCTTTCAACGGTGTGGCTGTTACATGTCAAAATCACCTGAGTTACCTCTTATAGGTGCAGATTCCTGGTCCCACTTAATTGACTAGCTAAAGTGGCAGGCCTCATAATCTACATGTTAACAAGTTTCCCAGATAATCTGTATGTGTTTTAAAATTTAGACTTCACATGATAAAGGTAAATAACCCAGTTGAAAAATGGGCACAGGATATTCAGATGGCTAACAAACACATGAAGAAATGTTCAAAATCCCTAGCTCTAAGAGAAAAATGCAAATCAAAACAACTCTGAGATATTATCTCACCCCAGTCAGAATAGCAAAATTTAACAGAACAATCAGCAACAGGTGCTGCGAGGTTGTGGAGAAACTGGAACCCTTATTCACTGTTGATGGAAATGTAAAATGGTGCAACCACTGTCAAAGGTGGTATGGTGCTTTCTCAAAAAGTTGCACATAGAGATACCATTTGACCCAGCAATTCCACTACTGGGAATATACCCCAAAGAGACCATAACTGATATCCAAGCAGATATATGCACACCCATGTTTATCGTGGCTTTGTTCACAATAGCGAGAAGTTGGAAACAACTTAAGTGCCCATCGACAAATGAATGGATAGAGAAGTTGTGGTATAGTCACACAATGGAATACTACACTGCATTGAAAAACAAGGAACTCATGCTATATTATTAAAAAAGGGTGACCTTGGAGGACATTATGCTGAGTGAAATATCTCCGCACAAAAGGACAAACACTGCCTAGTGCCACTGTTGTAAAACAAGACTGACATCGGGGTTGGGGGGAGTCTGAGAAAGATGGGTTCAATAATGTATACTGCATTGAAACAGATGAGGGAGAAAACTGTTTAAAAGGGATATGTGATTAGGTATTTTTGTCATAACGGGAGTCCAGAGCGAAGGCTGCATAGTGGAATGGACCTGAAGGGAAGGATTGAAAGAATTTTACTTTTCCAAGAGGGCAGAGTACTGGGAAGGGGGGGGGGCAGATGGGAGGGGTGAAAAATGCAACAATGAATGAATAAAAAAAACATAGCCAAACAGAGAGATCAAGAACTTTGAGATGAAATGGGGAAGATCTGGTGTGAAGAACAATGTAGGTGAACTTTGTAAGCAAACCAGTATAAAATAAACATTTACTTTAAGAAAAAAATTTAGAAAGACTTATGTTAGGCTCAGAAGTCTTTGTGTATGAATTTTAAAGTACTTCTTGTCTAGCACCTAAGCAGTGGCCTTGACCTTTACCAATTTTTGTTTTGTTTCTATTGCCTGATGAGATGGGGATGTGAGTTGTAAAGTGGGAAAGTGGATCTTTGAGTAAGAGTTAGGGACCCTGTTGCTCTTGGTCTTGGCTCTGTTGTAACTTGCCATTTGACCTTGGACCATTTCATAGCAAAGAGATTAAAAAGCAAGGACTGTGGTGTAGACAAACTTTTGAGTCCTGGCTCTGCCACTTGCTAATTGTACATCTCAGAAGTCATCTGTGATTATCTGCTTGGTTGTCATTTTCCTATTCCCTCACTCTCTATGTTTCTAAACTGTGTTTTACAGGCCCCATTTCTTGTTACCTTTGACCAGTAGGAGGTACTAAAGGGTGATTGCAATGTGGGAAAAGAGGACACTACACTATTTCTTTCCTCTGTGGGTGGTGTCTCCTCCTTAGTTCCAGCTCTTCCTGGGCAGCCTTGGTTCTTGGCTCAACAGTACATCACTCTTCTCTTCAGCTGTATGATGGCAGTAGCTTTCTGTGTTTCTAATCAGGATTGCCTCACTATCCCATTTGGTTTTATTTCATCTGTATTTTTATTGCCTATATTAAATTCCCTCTACTGAAACTAACTGACCTGGGTTCTATTTTTGGGCCCTTCCCAGTTCAGTACTTGCATCTATAAAATGAAATTAGTAATAGTATGTCCTTCCTATTGTTTTTGTGATAAATAAGTTAATGCATACAAAAAAGAACTGAAGTCTGATAGTAAATGTTTAATAAGATATAGCTAATGGCTGTAGTCATTGGTAGAATACCATTTGTTTTGCCTTCAGTAGGGAGCATCTAACAGTTAGAGAAGTAATAAAAACACTTGGAAATAAACACATTTAGATAGATGGCAAACTGCTTAAGTGGAACTCACTACTATAGGCTTTATTTTCCTAACCGGGCCTGCCCTTTCAAGGAGTTTATGGTCTAGTTGTGCCAAGGAATCTGGAGGAAAACCACCTGGCCAACTGACTGGAAGAGATCCATATTTGTTCCCATTCCAAAGAAAGGTGACCTGATAGAGTGCAGAAATAATGGAGCAATATCAGTAGTATCATATGCAAGCAGGATTTTGCTGAAAATTATCCAAAAACTACTGGAACAGCACATCAGCAAAGAACTGCCAGGTGTGCAGGCTGGATTTAGAAGAGGCCATGGTACTAGGGATATTATAGCTAATGTTAGATGAACCTTGGCTGAGAGCAGAGAGTACCAGAGGAATGTCTATCTGTGTTTCATTGATTATGCAGAGGCATTTGCTATGTGGATCACAACAACCTGTGACTAACTCTGAGAAGAAGGGGAATCCCAGAACACTTGATTGTGTTTATGCGAAACCTATGCTTGAACCAGTCGACAGTCTTCAGAACAGAGCAAGGAAAACACTGCATGGTTTAAAATTGGGAAAGGTGTATGATAGGGATGTATCCTATCTCCATACCTTTTCAATCTATATGTGGAACAGATCATCTGGGAGGCTGGGCCCTGTGAGGAGGAATGTGGCATCAGGATTGGAGGAAGACTCATCAACAACCTGTATTATGCAGATGATACAACCTTGCTTGCCGAAACAGGAGGGCCTGAGGCATTTGCTGCAGAAGGTTAAGGACTGCAGACTTAAATATGGATTGAAGCTCAACATCAAGAAAACAAAGATTCTCATCACTAGGCTTATTAGCAGCATCATGATAGACAGTGAAGAGATTGAGACTGTAAATAGCTTTGGTTAGCTTGGCTCCACAGTCACCACACTTGGTACCAGCAGCCAGGAAATCAAAAGGTGAATTGCATTGGGATACTCTGCTGTCAGGGACATCTTTAGAGTACTGAAGAGCAACAATTTCAGGCTGGAGACTAAGGTATACCTGATCCAGGCCGTGATCTTCACAGTTACTTACTATGCATCAGAAAGCTGGACAGTGACAGGGATGATAGGAGAATTGATGTCGTTGAGCTTTAGTTCTGGAGAAGAGTATTGAACATGCCATGGATGGCTAAGAGAACAGATTGATTTGTCCTGGAAAGGGTAAAATCAGGCTGCTCCTTGGAGGCAAGGATTCTGCAGCTTAATCTGACATACTTTAGGCATGTTGCCCGGAGAGACCAGTCTTTGGAGGACATCATGCTTGGAAGAGTGGAGGGACAGACAGTTCAAGGCAGAGAGACCCTGGACGAGATGGATTAACTCAGTGACTGGTATATGGTGGTAAGTGTGTCAGAGACAATAAGGTTGGCTCAGGATAGAGCAGGGTTCAGAGCGGTTGTCCACAGGGTTGCTATGAGTCGCAAGCAACTTGACAGCTCATAACAACAATAGCAAAGAAACAGAACACATTTGTGGCAGCCAGTTGAATGGAAATGGGAAGAGCCGTAAACTTGGAGCTTCCTCAGTTTAAGTTCCAATTATGCTTAAGGAGCCTTTATGGGGCAATGGTTAAAGCATTCAGCTGCTAACCAAAAGGCCAGTAGTTTGAACCCACTATCCATTTCTTGGGAGAAGAAGGTGGCAGTCTATGCCCAGAGAGATTTACAGTTTTGGAAACCCTGTGGAGTGGTGTACCTTGTCTTACTGGGTTGCTGTGAGTTGACATAAATGTGATGACCTTGGATTTAGGTTTAGATCCAGTTGCTTACTGGCTCTGTTCTCTTTCCCACCATGACCATTCCTTAGAACTCATGCTTGGCTCACCACCAGAGTTTTCCCCTTGGTAAATTTAGAGTGGGGCCTCAGAATTATCATTTTGCATTCCCAGGTAGGGCTGATGCTACTTGTCTCAGACACATAACGGAAAATAATTTAAATAAGCCAGTCTTTTTTCAGTTTCATTTTCCTTCTGTAAAAATTGGGAGTCAAGGGGAAGACAGTAAAACTATTTCTGCTTGTTTCAAAGTATGTTACAAGTCCTTTGTCATGATAAAAAAGTATTATAAATGACTAGAAGTTCCTTCTTTGTGAAATAAAAACTTAGTTTATTTGCAAAAGTTTTTCAAGACATTAGCAATGCTAACTGGCTCATAGAATATGTTGAGTTCATACTGTGTTAAAGTGACTAGATAAGGTAGCAAAATAATGAGATCAACTTTGGGTATCTTTATTGAATTGTCTTTAGAAGAAGGTGAAAGGTATGAATTGGCAGCATGGTGTCAGGAAGGATGTGGGAGGAGGGTCTTTGTAAATCCTGTTGTGTTCAGCAAAGGACAGCAGGGTAGAGCCTGTGTAAGGAAGTTAATAAATGCTCACTGCCCTAGCAGCTTTGTCTTCTCATTCTTTCCCATTTCTATGCTTTTACCTGTAAGATACCCTTTCTCTTTCTCTCTACATATATACACACATATATACATATATACAAATGTGTATGTATGTATGTATGTATATATATGATTGAGTCCTACCTTTTCTTCATAGCCTACTTCTGGTCCATTGAAGCTTTCCTGCTGACTTTATCTACTTGAATCACTTCCTTCTTTGAAATCCTTTATTTTAAAACATTTCTGGGCTAGCTTTCATATTTTTCTGATCTTATATTCTTTTTGAAGTTTTTAACTTACCTCTCTATTGAGATTGTAAATTTCTTGAAGTGTCTCTTAAATCTCAATATAGTGTTGAGGATAATTTAAGTTCTTATATATTTAGGATTGTAACATTCTATCCATTAACTCTTGTATCAGGGAAAGAGATCTTGCTTTCTTTTGCCTACATTCTTCCATTTCTTTGTAACTATATATGTAACAGGGAGTTCCAGGCTTAGTGGAAAGAGGTTGAGCTGCCAACCCAAAGACAAAAGGTTCACATCCACTCACTATTCTGAGGGAGAATGATGGGTAGTATCCTGCTGTGCAATTTACTGCCTCTGAAAGCCCACTGGAGTGTCAGCTATCAGTTGATTCCAGCTCCATGGTACACAACAGCAGCATATATGTATTGTTTCCCATCCCCTCTGAGAAGACTCATTTCTTCGAGAATGGAAAGAGTGAACTGGGGCTTGAAACTAGATCTTTTGCTTCCCAAATCCAGTGTTCTTTGGGCTGAAGTGAACAGTCGCTCAAGTCCCTTCTTTTTAGTTTGTTGCCACTGAGTCAGTCACAACTCCTGGCAACTATTTGTTACAGAGTACAATTGCTCTGCAGGGTTTTCTTGGCTGTAGTAGTAATGGAGGCAAGTCACCAGACTTTTTCTTGCAGAGTATTACTGGGTGGAGTCAAACTGCCAACCTTTAGGTTAGCAATCTAATGTAAACTATTTGTGTTATTCAAGGAACAAAAATGTATTATCTCACGGTTCTGACTCCTAGACATCAGAGTTTGTGGCAACAGCTCCCAAGAAAGATGCCATCCATCTGCTCAGCATTCCTCAAGAGATCTCCTTGGGCATCTCTTATCTCACTTGTGCTTTCTTGCTTCTGGGTTTAATCTACAAGATCAAAAAGTGTTTAAAGAAAACCGTACTCCCAAATGGGATTATATCTACAAGCATACCGAAAAGCCCAAATCCACTCTCCTTCATTTCCATTCCAACTCATAGCAACTCTTTAGAACAGAGGAGTGTTCTTTAGGATTTCCAAGGCCATAAATCTACAGAAACACACAACAGCTGCTGGGTTAAACTATTGTGCCATTGGGGCTCATTATCCACAGGCAGAGTGCCAGAATTTACAATAAATATTTGTGTGGGACACAATTCACTTTATAACTTCCTACTCTAAAATTCATGATCCCTGGGACATGTTACTTGGAAGGGTAGAGGGTCAGTGAAGGAAAGGAAGACCCTTGATCTGGTGGATTGACATGGTGACTGCCACAATGGGCTCTAGTGTGTCAGGAAATGTGAGGATGGCGCAGGATAGGCCAGGATTCAGATCCACTGTTCATAGAGTTGCTATGAACATACTCAAGGGCACCTAACAAAACAACAACAACTCTAAAATTCATGTTCTTTCTACACACAATAATACATTCACCCTATCTCATTCTTCTAAAGCCTTATCCCATTTCAGAATGAAGATTTCATCTTTTGGATCATCTAAATCAAGTACAACTCTGGGTTTGTTACATTCTCAGACAAGATGTCCCTAGACTTCTTAAAATTTCTCAGAAGTTCACTATTGCCTTGAGGTTAAAGTCCAAACCTCTTGAGTGTGATCCTCCTGCTGTTGTTAGATGCCATCAAGTCAGCACCAACTCATAGCATCCCTTTGTCAGCAGGATGACACTGTGTGACCCTGCACCATCCTCATAATCTCTTCTCTGCTTAAGACCACCAGTATAGTCATTGCCTCAGTCCATCTCACTGAAGGACTTCTCCTCCCTTGATATCACAGACTTACAAGCATAATGCCTGTTCCCAGGCACTGGTCCTTCCTGATAACATGCACAAAGTATGTAAGGCATGGTCTCACCTTCCTTGCCGCTAAGGAGCACTTTAGCTGAGGCATGATAGATAGGACTTACCATAGCTTGACCCTAGTCTACATTTCTAGCTTCATCCTCAGGTACTTCCCTTTGCTGCTGCTTTGGGAGCAGGCCAGTGTAAGAAAGGATGAGCCGAAGAAGGCAGAGTAGTCATGTTTAAGTTGTCATGTCCAGATTTCTTTGTTTTTATATTCTTTTGCTGATTGTACAGTTTATGATATGTACCAGTGGCATATATAAAGCATATGTGATGATTAATAATCTTTAGTATTAGTTTGTGAGCTCACCACTCAATGAGATCATTATCAATACTATATATATGTTCCTTCTGTGTAAAGAGATCAGTGATAATGGGAGTAGATGTTCATGGGTAATGTGGAGAAGAACAAACCTGACCACAGTTAACTCTATAAAGGAGTGCTGTCCCCATAACATCCACAGGACCAAGATGATAGCCACACAGTCAGACATGGCCTCCAGCTGTGCTATACCCACTTGTACCAATCACTTGGTCCAATATTTGTTGCAAAAGTTGTGGGGTTTATTAGGGAAATAGGTTATAGGACCAGGGGAAGACAGAGGATATCACACAGTGAAAATCTAGGTTCAGGCCAACAACACAAATGTGAGAAAACCTCTAGGTTCCTTCAGTTGTCCAGCAAACAAAAACCTTTAACTCTGGCTCTGTCTCCAGGGCTCCATCAGGCTACACCTTGCTGCAGTTGCTCCACAATCTGGCCACCTCTCCCTCTTATGTTGGCCCCACAGTTGTTGATTATGTAGAAGACACTGATCGAAGGGTGAAACGTGTCTGCAGTTGAGGCAGGTAGACACTATGCCCTTAGAGGAGGCTAGGAAAATGAATATAAAAGACGTTTTCAAAAATCTTCACATCACACTCTGATTCCCTCACTTTTTTCTGTAGAGCAGGCTGGCATTTACCACATGCTACCTCACCAGCTGTTCCTCTGGCTTTCTGGAAAAGCTGTCAGTATGGGGAATCTCCCACAAAGACTGCTGAGGTAGTGCCAGATTGCCACCTGGCCTTGTTCCATGCATTTGATACTATGCTTGGTTTGCTGACCAAGAAGGTGGTGATCAGCAGTCTTTCTGTCCCTTGCAGGTCAAGCTGGGAAGCTGATGTATGTGATGCACAACTCAGAGTACCCTTTGAGCTGCTTCGCTCTCTTTGAGAATGGCCCTTGCCTTATTGCCGACACCAACTTTGATGTGCTCATGGTGAAGCTCAAGGGTTTTTTCCAGAGTGCCAAAGCCAGCAAGATTGAGACCCGGGGTACTCGATACCAGTACTGTGACTTCCTAGTGAAGGTGGGCACAGTCACTATGGGGCCCAGCGCCCGGGGCATCTCTGTAGAGGTAAGATCCTGGCAAAACAGGAGTGAAGATTTGCTAAAGAGCAGCTTGCTAAAGGGTTTTAAAGATAATCCCTAGTCTCTTTATTTTTTTTTATTAAAAAAAAATGACTGGTTTGTATACAATTATTTATAAACATTCTATTTCATTAATGTACATTGTGTTTTATACATTCGTTCATATACATTGTGTTTTATGTCATTAATTATTATTGATGCATGCCTTTCATCCCCCAATCTCAAGTGTCCATTCTACTTACCTATTCCTTCACACACTCTCTCTCCCACTACATTTCATCCATTGATTTCTGCTCCTGGAGATCCCCCCAAAATCCATCCACTAATCTTTACTGTCTTGGTGGTTCCCCCCTTCTTTCATCTTCATTTTCCCTTTTCCCCTCCCCTTTTGACCAGTTACCCTGCTCCTGTTTGCTAATTGCAGTAGTCACATGGTCCTTCTCTAAGTTCTTCTCAGATTGACCCTCCCTTGTTCAGATCCTTTACAGTGTTGAGTTCCTGCTCTCTCTCTCTCTTTAGCATCCCCCTGCGCACCCCCCACCCCGTCTCTTATTATGGACAATTATGCCTACCTGATCTTTCTCTCTCCAGAATATGGGTATGCTCTCTTACTACATCTTTTAATTCATTTTTTAATCATTCAGAGAGTCTTTAGCCCAGGATAGGAAATGGAAAGCCAGGTTCACAGCATGTGGAAAGCCTAGAATGCCTGTGTTCATGGAGAAAGACTACAAGTTGAGAGGAGTAGGTACATTATGATGAGGAAGGTCTAGTTACCCACCACAGCAAGGGCTGGGGCAGCCCAGGACAGCCTCCAGTGCTGTTATCTTTTAGGAAATGAGCTTTAAATCACATGTGCCCACATACCTCTTTAGAATAAGTCTCAAATGTGTAGCGAGAATGTACCTACCTTATTTACATATATTTTTGGCTTCTGTGGTAGAAATGAGTGCCTGTGCATGTGTGATGGCTTTCTCTTTGAGGTTAAAGTTAAATTTTTAAAATGGCCTAGAAAGGCTATACCCGGAGTTCATTTATGCCAAGGAGCCCTAGTGGCATAATATGTTTTATTGGGTTGCCAACTGAAACGTTGCCAGTTCAAATCCACCAGCTGAGCTGCAGGAGAAAGAAAAGCCGTATCCTTCCATAGAGATTTCAGCTTCAGAAACTCAGTCATGGTCATTGTACATTGGGGCCATCTTGACAGCAGTGAATTTTTGTATTTTGCCTTTGAGTTTAGTAAATGTCCACAAGCTACAGATGCCTAATACCATGTGCCATATAAAAAGCTGCAAGACCTGACTTTTGATGATTTTTTATTTAGTAAGAGAGAAAAATAGACGCATACAAACTTTCTAAGGAATGTCATTACAGAGACACAGATTAGTCTGGCTATTGAGAGACCAGTGAGATGTTGCAGACATTAGGGGTTTTGATACTTTCTGGAGGAGTATTTAAAATGTCTGCCATTTTGTTACATGTCGATAAGTTGAGTGTGACCTGTAGCAACCAAGCCGAACTTTGTTCTGTCCTGTGCCATCCTCACAATCTCTGACACACTCAAGCCCATTGCCACCGTCATCACGTCAATACACCTGCTTGAAGGTCTTTCTCTTTTTCACCTCTACTACCTTTCCAAGCATGCTGACTGTAGGGAGAACCTCTCTTAGCAACACCTTTGCCTCCAGCGAGCACCCTGGCTGCACCTTCTCCAAGATGTACTTGTTTGTTTTTTTGGCAGTTCTTCTGTTATCCTTATTCATTGTCCAGCTCAGATGCATAACAAGTGACTGAAAAGACCATGTCTCTGAATTACGTACACCTTAGTCCTCAAACTGACTCTATTACTCCTCAATAATTTATAGAGGTCCCTGACTACAGGCTTTCCCAGTAAAATATGTCTTCTGATCTCCTGACTGCTGGTACCAAGTGTACTAATTATGGATCCAAATAAGATGAAGTTGCCAGTCTTCAGTTCTTTATCTATCATGATGTTTATGGGTCCAGTGGCAAGGATATTTGTTTTCTTGATGTTGAAATGCAATCCTTATTGAAAGCCGTAGTGCTTCATTTTCTGCAGCAAGTGCTTCAGGTCCTCACTTTGAACAATCAAAGTTGTGTCATCTGCATAATGTTTGTTATTGATGAGTCTTCCTCAAATCCTGATGCCACATTTTTCTTCATATAGTTTAGCTTCTTCAGTAATTTGCACAGCATATAGATTAAATAGGTATGGAGAAAAGATACAACCCTGATGCTTGTTGTTGTTAGGTGCCGTTGAGTTGTAGACGACTCATAGCGACCCTATGAACTAAAGGCCTAAGCACTGTTCATACATAGTTTCCGGAGGCAGGCCATTTCGGATGCATACCTTCCCTAAGTTTAAATACTGCAGTATTCTCTTGCTCTGTTCACACAACAGCTCCTTGATCTAAGTGTAGGTTTTATGTGACCACAGTCAAGTGTTCTCCCAGGACTGATCCCACCTTGCAACATGTCCAGAGAGTGTCAGATGGAGCTTCAGAATCCTTGCCTCCAAGGAGCAGCCTGGCTTCACCCTCTCCAGGATGAACTTGTTTGTTCTAGTAGTCCATGATATATTCAGTACTCTTTTCCAGCACCACAGCTTAAAGGTACCAACTCTCTTTCTGTCATCCGTAGTCATTGTCCAGCTCTCTGGTGCATAGCAAGTAATTGCAAAGACATGGCCTGGATCAGGCGCACCTTAGTCTCCAGACTGACATTGTTGCTCCTCAGTACCTTGGAGAGGTCTCTGACAGCAGACTTTCCCAGTGCAATTTGTCTTCTAATTTCCTGGCAGCTGGTACCAAGAGTGTTGACTGTAGAGCTAAGCAAACTCAAGCTGTCAACAATCTCGGTCTTTTTGTCATCCATCATGATGCTGCCATTCGGCCCAGTGGTAAAAATTTTTGTTTGCTTGATGTTGAGTTTCAACTTGAGGCTTGAATTTATTTTTCAGTTCCTTAAGCTTGAGAAATGCTGAGCTCTGTACATTCCATTATAGTAGTTTACTTTCTCATCCCAAGCTGCCCTTTGTAATCTGCTGTACAGCTCTTATTTCAGCTTCTCAACACTCCAGTGCCTTCTTATCTGCCATTTAGTTGAGTCTAAATCAGCAGCCTTATATAGGACATAATAGAACTGCTCCTCCCATCTCCCACCACAGATTTTAAAAGTTCTAGTCTTTATGGACCAGCAGTTAGAATCTACCAGCTGCTCCACAGGAGAAAGATGGACAGTTTTCTCCTCTGCAATTTGCAGCCTCTGAAAAACCACTGGATGGTCAGCTATGGGACACGTCTGACTCATTGGCATATCACAACAACAACAGCTTTTCTATTGATCATGCTGTGGTGTGTTAGGGGGATGCTGGAAGGTATTTCATTAATATTTTAAATACTAGCAGAGTCACCTGTTGGGCAGATTTTCCTGGAACTTTCAGGTCTTGAAATGGAATCCACAGAGGTTGTTATCCTTAGTATTAGTGAGCTGAAATGGACTAGTATTGGCCAATTTGAACCAAATATACATGTTCTCTACCATTTCAGGAATGGTAGATTGAAAAGGAATGACATAGTCATTGGCAAAAAGAACATTTCATGGTCTATTCTGAAGTACAAGTGTCAGAGATAGGATAGCTATTGTATGAGGAAGACCAGTCAGTGCAACTGTTACTCAAATAGATGCACTGACTACTGCTGTGAAAGATGAAATACTTGAAGATTTTTATCACCTTTTACATCTGAAATTGATCAAACATGCACATAAGAGGCACTGATAATTACTGGTCATTAGAATGAAAGTTGGAAAGAGAGGTCATTTGTTAATGATAGAAGCAATGTTGTAGATTGCATTATAAAATTTTGCAAGACTAATGTCTTATTCATTGCAAATACCTTTTTTTTCCAACAACTTAAAAGATTATTGTACATGTGGATTCACAGTCAACACTTGATGCCATCAGTCAGGAAATTAAAATACAGGTTGTATTGGAAAGTATACTGTCAAGGACCTCTTCAGAGTGCTGAAGAGCAATGATGTTAGTCTAGAGACTAAGGTGCACCTAATCGAGGCATAATCTTTGCAATTACTTTTGATGCATCAGAAAGCTGGACAATGGACTAAATATGACAGAAGAAGAATTAATGGCCTTTGAGTTATGGTTCTGGAGAAGGGTATTGAATGGACCTTGATCTGCCAAGAGAACCAACGGGTCTGTCCTGGAGAGGGTGAAATCAGGTTGCTCCTTGGAAGAAAGACATTTTAAAGTCTGTCTCATGTACTTTGGGCATATTGCCAAGAGGGACCTATCCTTGGGGAAGGACATCAAGCTTGGAAGAGTAGGAGTTCAGTGCAGAAGAGGACGACCCTGGATGAACTGGATTGTCACAGTGACTGTGGCAGTGGAGATGAGACAGTGAGATTGGCTCAAGGTAGTACAGGGTTCAGAATGATTGTTTACAGGGTCTCTGTGTGTCGTCATCAATGGCACATAACAAGAACAACATACACATGGATCCAAGATTGAAATTGTCAACTAGTTCATCTCACTTGGATCCACAATCCACACCCTTGGTACCAGCAGTCTGGGGATTCAGAAACGTATTGCATTGGGCAAGTCCATTGTCAGGGACCTTTCCAAAATACTGAAGAGCAATGTTGTTAGTTTTAAGACGAAGGTGTACCTGATTCAGGCTCTATCACTCATTTGCTATCTCTGAGAGCTGGACAGTGAATAAGGCTGACAGAAGAAATGTTGCCTTTCAACTGTGGTGTTAGAGAAGTGTACTGAGCATCCCATGGACTGCAAAAAAGAATAGCTATGTCTTAGAGAAGGTACAGCCAGTGTGCTCCTCAGAAGCAAAGATTACAAAGCTTCATCTCACTTACTTTGGGCATGTTGCTAGGAGAGACTGTTCATTGGAAAGGAACATCATCCGTGGAAAAGTGGAGGGTCAGTGAAAAAGGAGAGGACTCTAAATGAGATTGATTGACACAGTGACTGCTGCAGTGGCTCATGTGTGTCAGAGATGATGAGGGATGGCACATGTTAGGACAGGGTTCAGACCTGTTCACCGGGTTGCTCTCAGTCATACTCAGCTTGATGATACCTAGCAACAGTAATACACATGAACACTGGCTGGAATACAGAGGAATCACATGGGGCACATCTGTGCAAAGAGATAACGGAGCAGCCAAATAACAGGACAAAGCAAACCAGAACAGACCATCAGTTCCTCCTATGAAAATTTAAGTTAAAGCCCAAGAAAAAGCCAAAATAGAGCCTTGTGTATACCCAGATTGAATTTAGAGACCATCACATGACTAAACTTTATACATTGGACACTTATGACTGAAGACCAGGCGAATTATGGGGTGATGTCAGGTATATCATATCACATGTAAGGAAAGAAAAGGGTCATTAAAAAAACAAGAAAGAAAAGACTAAAATGGATATCAGAAGAGACTGAAAGTTGCACTTAATTAAATGTAGAGTAACTGAAGCAAGTGGAGGAAATTAAAAGAGCTGACTGAAGGATTCCATGGGCAAAATGCTGAATTATGCAGGAAATATTGCAAGAATCAAGGAATACATTGAGTCACTGTACCAAAAAGAATTGGTCAGTGGTCAGCCATTTTCAGAAGTAGCATATAATTAAGAATGATACTGAAGGCATTGCTGAAAACCAAGGCTCCAGGAATTGACAGAATACCAATTGAGATGTTTCAACGAATGGATTCAGTGATGGAGGTACTCACTTCTCTGTGCCAAAAAATTTGGAAGGTGACTACCTGGTGAGCCATCTAGAAGCTGCTCACATTTGTGCCCATTTCAAAGAAAGTTGATCTAACACAGTGTGGAAATTCTTACACAGTGGCATTAATATCATACTGAACAGTGGCATTCATCCGGGAGGCTGGGCTCTATGAGGAGAAATGTGGGGTCAACACTGGTGGAAGATCTATCAACAATCTACATTATGCAGATGACACAACCCTGCTTGCTGAAACTGAGGAGGACCTGAAGCACCTGCTGCAGAGGGTCAAGGACTGTAGTCTCCAATATGGCTTGAGGCTCATTGTCAAGAAGACAAAGATTCTCACCACTGGGCCAATTGGAAGCATCAGGATGGATGGTGAAGAGATAGAGATTGTTCACAGCTTTAGTTTGCTTGGCTCCACAGTCATCACTCTTGGCATCAGTAGCCAGGAAATTAAAAGGCGCATTGCCATGGGAAAGGCTGCTGTTAGGGACCTCTCCAAAGTACTGAAGAGCAATGGTGTCTCTCTGGAGACTAAGGTGCATCTGATACAGGCCATAGTCTTTGCAATCACTTGTTATGCATCAGAGAGTTGGACAGTCACCAAGGAGGACAGAAGGAGAATTGATGCCTTTGAGCTGTGGTGCTGGAGAAGAGTATTGAGAATACCATGGACAGCTAGGAAAACAGAGTCATCCTGGAAAGGGTTAAACTGGGTGGCTCCTTGGAGGCAAGGATTCTGAGGCTCCGTCTAACATACTTTGGACATGTTGTAAGAAGAGAACGGTCCTTGGAGAAGGACATCATGCTTGGGAGGGTGGAGGGACAGCGCAGGAGGGGAAGGCCCTCTATGAGTTGGATTGATTCAGTGACTGGGATAATTGGGATGGGAGTGTCAGAGACAGTGCGACTGGCACAAGACAGAGCAGAGTTTAGGGCTGTTGTACATAGGGACGCTATGAGTCGCAAGCGACTCGACGGCACATAACAACAACAACAACAAACAGTGGCATTAATATACTCAAGTAAAATCCAGCTGAAAGTAATTGAGAAGTGACTAGAGCGGTCATCAGGTGACAACTGCCAGAAATTCGAGCAGTAGTCACAAGAGGCTATGAAATGAGGGATGTCACTCCTGTGTTGGCTGAATCTTGCCTAAAAGCAGAGGTTTCCAGAAAGAGGTTAATTTGTGTTTTATTGACTGTGAGATCAGAAGAAATTATTGATTATATTGAGAAGAATGGGAATTCCAAGATTTGTAATTTTGCTCATGAGAAACCTGTGCATTGATCAAGAAGCAGTTACTTGAACAGAACAAGTGAAGATTGCATGGTAAAAAATAAGGAAAGGTGTGTGCCAGGATTTTATCCTTTCTCTCTCTCTAATGAGTTTGTATGCTGAGCAGATTGTTCAAGAAATTGAATTGTGTGAATAAGAACAATCAGGATTGGAGGGAGACTCATCAACACCACGCAGTATGCAGGTTGCACAATTACAGAAAAAAAGGGAAAACATTATCTTGGCAAAGAATATTAAACATTGGACTGCTAGGAAAACAAATAAACTTGCCTTGGGATAAATATATCCAGAATGTTTCTTTGAAGCAAGAATGTTGAAACTTTGGTTTTCATACTCTGGATATGTCTGTTAGGAGGGACTAGTCCTAGGAAGACAGCCTTGTGCTTAGTACAGTGTCAGTGACAAGAGAAAGACTCTCATTGAGATGGAGTGACACCAATGGCTCCAGCAGTGTACCCAGATGTAGCAACCACTGTGAGGAACTTGTAGGAGTGGGTGGTATTTTCATCTATTGTACATAAAGTCACTGTGAGTGTGAGCTGACCTGATGGCACCTGAGAGCAGCAATCTTTATAGAAGCTGAGTGCTACATCCTACTCCCAAGGAACAGGGACCAGCTGGTGGGTTCAAATCACTAACCTCTTGGTTAACAACTGGGTGCACCACCTGTATTTAAATAGGTACTTAAAGATGTAGAGGCATGGTGTTTAATAATATGTTTAGTGTTTCTATGAGTTTTAATCCACTGGACAGCAGTGATTTTAGCTTTTAGTACCAAGGGTCTTAAAATTTTGTAAATGGCCAATTAAGATACAGCAATTGTTCTCTGGTATCCTGTAACAACAGACAAGAGCAGACACGAATAGGAGGAGGATGTGGAATGCATGCCTCCCTGAAAAAATGCCGCCTTTTCTATGAAGCTGAAAAGACTGAATGGTTCTATAGAGGCCTCATGATCAGAGGGGGAAAATTGAAGAACAATTTAAAATCCTCCAGACTCCTGAATCATACAGATGAATAAACTTCTGAAACTATTGCTGAAACTATTGCTTTGCAATACTCTTTCAACTTTAAATAAAAAATAGCCCCTGAAATCCTTAACCAAACAATAGTTTAAATGAACTAATACAGAAAGTCTCCACTGAGCTTTATGCTCTTTTAATACCTATGTACATGGGTTCAAAGTGAGAACAGTAATTTGAAACACTAGAGAACAGTAATTTGAAAACGTTAGATAGGAACCTTTGTGAACGTGAACCGTTTATATTAATGTGGCTGGAACAGCTCACAAAAGGAGAGTGAGAACGGTTCCTCAACTGGAAGAATGTAATCATTGTCACTGAGTTGTATGTAAAACTTTTAAATTAAGGTATGTTTTGCTGTGTATTTTTCTAACAACAAAGGATAAAATTTATTTTTAGGGATTATGCCATAAAAAATTATGGCAATATGCGGACAGGCAGAATTCCAGAAAAAGACATTGATGCTAGTTACTGCTCTGAAACCAGGTGTCCATCGGACCATAATTTCCTAACCTTTTTCAGTTTTTATGCACCTTGCTGAGATCTATTAAGAATCCACTGTTTACTTTACACACTTCTAACTTATAATACAAGCAAGCTGTTTGTTTCTTTTTACTTTTACTAAAAGTGTTCCCTTGTCATCTCTCTAGTGAAAAGGATGAGAAAATATAAGGTACATATCCTCAGGTCTCTGCTACAATAATTGGGAAATAACTACTCCGAGTAAGAGCCCAGCCTGGGTCTACGTTGGAAGTACTATTTGGTCTGGAGGAGACCTTTTGGCTCATGTATTCTGCCCTCTACTGGTTCCTCTCTCCCTGTCCACCCATGTACATAATTGTCTTGGAATTTTTCTAAGAACTCATTGAATCATCATCACCTCTGACATAATAGAGACTATACAGTTTTGAATTAATCAGACGTACCCTAAGTCTTCCTGGGGGTCTTGTGGGAAGGCTGTGGGTTGCCATAACTCCAAGTTGAACATGTAAAAAAAAATGTCTGAAGGTAGATAGACTAGGTGTGTCTTAATTCCTGATGTGTAGATTGAATATTTTCTCAGGACCAATACTATGCTAGGTGTGTTTCTTGAGCTTAGCATTGGGGAAATGGGAGTACATGGCAGGAGGTGCAAGAGAAGCAGGGAACCTTGCTCTTGCCATTACTCACCTTCAGTCTCTGTTCTTTTGACCCTGCAGGTGGATTATGGCCCCTGTGTGATAGCAAGTGACTGCTGGAACCTACTGCTTGAATTCCTACAGAATTTTCTAGGCAGCCACGTGCCTGGGGCTCCCACAGTATTTGGGAACAGACATGATGCTGTGTACGGCCCAGCGGATACTATGGTCCAGTACATGGAACTCTTCAACAAGATCCGCAAGCAGCAGCAGGTGCCGGTGGCTGGAATCCGTTAGTGTAGCAGCTGCCTAGTGCAGCTGTGCCATCAAGGGGACTCCACAGGAGGAGGAGGTGCTGCAGCCTCACACCTCTGGGCTCCGGAAACCCAGGACTGTCATGGAGGTGCTCTCTTCAGTTCCCAGCTATGTGTGCTGGGACTTCTCTGACTCAGTCCCTCAAACAAATGTCTGACCCCAAGGCTTACTGGACTTGGCTTGTCCTGAAGAATGGTAATTGTGAAAAGTAGAAACATTTAGACTTTTTCTGCTTTAGAAAGAAGGGTAGGTACCTGCCTAGTCTTGATGGGGAAAGTGGTCTGTATGTCTAGCCTTTGAGTGTTTAGACAGGCTACATTTTGTACTTGGACTGTGCTATAATAAAGACCTCTTGCCAGATAAGATTAATGTGTGATCTTGCTGTTTGTAAGCCCAAACATCTCTCAAACGTGCCTTTTCCAATGGGCACAGGATATGAACAGGCACTTCACCGAAGACGACATTCAGATGGCTAACAAACACATGAAGAAATGCTCAAAATCCCTAGCCCTAAGAGAGATGCAAATTAAAACAACTATGAGATATCATTTCACCCCAGTCAAAATAGCAAAATTTAACAGAACAGCAAGCAACAAATGCTGGCGAGGTTGTGGAGAAACCGGAACCCTGATTCACTGTTGGTGGGAGTATAAAATGGTGCAACCCCTGTGGAAAGCAGTATGGCGCTTTCTCAAAAAGTTGCAAATAGAGATACCATTTGACCCAGCAATTCCACTACTGGGAATATACCCTGAAGAGACCATAGCTGACATCCAAGCAGATATATGCACACCCATGTTTATTGCAGCTTTGTTCACAATAGCAAGGAGTTGGAAACAACCTAAGTGCCCATCAACACACGAATGGCTAGAGAAGCTGTGGTATATTCGCACAATGGAATACTATGCTGCATTAAAAAACAAGGAACTCATGCAATACTATTCAAAATGGTTGACTCTGGAGAACATTATGCTGAGTGAAATATCCCAGTCACAAAAGGACAAATATTACGTGATGCCACTGTTGTAGAATGGGACTGTCCTTGGGGTTGGGGAGAGACTGAGTAAGATGGGTTCAATAATGTATACTGCACTGAAACAGAGGAGGGAGAAAACTGTTTAAAAGAGATATATAACTAGGTATTTCTGTCATCACAGGAGACTAGAGCGAGGGCTACATGGTGGAGGGGACCTGGGGGAGGGTTTGTAAAATAATGAAAGAATCTTTACTTTTCCATAATTTTTGGACTCATGTACTTATAACTTGTTAGTCAAATTTGTGTCTTCTAGGTTGCAACACCCCCATGATACATCTTCAAGGATATGAACATGTACAGCCAAGCACAATCAATAAGAGTGCATCTAAATTCCAAAATCAATCTCCATAATAGTCTATGTGTTTCCTACTGCCAAAGGGGCCCTTTAGAGTAGTGAGAGAAGATCTTCACCCTGAAACCCACAGCGTCCCTTTTCAGCGGGAAGTAGCTAAGAGAATATGCCATCCCCTTTTCCTTATGACTCAGGGTGAAGTCTCTCTCAGGGAGGAGTGATAGGGAATGGCAAAGGACACACTGACAAAGAAGATTAATCAGAACTGGCTTTGACAAGCACTGTGGCATTTGGACAAGAACAAACTGGGAGGAGGGTGGAGAGAATAGTGCAACAATGAATGAATGGAAACCCAAAATCTCTGTAAATGTTTATGAAAATTAATAAAATATAATTATAGAAAAAAAAAAACTTGCCTTTTCCTTGCCACAGCTTCCCTGTCCATATTTCTTGCTGTCTGAGTACCTTAGGCTGCAGGCTGTTTTACTGTAGTCATTGCCTTTCTCTAGAGAGGTTTAACCAGTTGTAGTAGAAGTTTAGCCCTGTCTTTTAAGCAGTTACTATTTGGGGTCACTATATGGGAATATATGTCTTTGCATAGTCAAGAAACACAAATAGATATTTTTCTTTGCTTTCAGCCAAGATCCATCAGACATCAGCAGTGATAATCCTGGTGCTATGGCCACTTCTAAATCCTGCTTGCTTCCATGTGATATTGTTCAGTAATTTCCATATTCTATTGAATAACCTTTCTTGGGATTGTAAACAATTTATTTGTTGATGGGAGGACTATGACTTTAAAGCAGGGCTCTTAACCTGCAACAGGTTGGCACTCTTTAGGAGTCTGAGAGGACCAAGACACCCTGAAACTGAAAATGGACTTCTGAATTTTGTATATATGTGCAGCTTTTTGAGAATAGGATTTAGAGCTCTCTTGAAAGTGTCCAAAAGAGCTATGATCTGAAAAAAAAATCTAAAGAGAGGACAAACTCTGAAGGAGAAAACAGTGAGTATTGCTAATCCTGTTTGAATATGTTGAGCTGGACATTGGCGAACTAGACTTCTGGCCATTTTTTGGGACCCATTATCTAGGTTCCTGACCAAGAGATTTTTCCCTCTTTCATTTTATAGTCTTTTTGGCCTTGTTTAAATCAGTTTCTGAGAATATGGACTATGTTCAAATTGTTCTCCTTCTTAAAAGGTATCGCTTGGGTGTGTGCACGGGCATATACATATATGTGCACACTTTTAGACATGGGAAGGAATGAATATGTAAGAAGCATCTTTACAGCTTCCTTTGTGTTTCCAGGGATTACTCTTCCATTATGACACACTCCATGGGATCTGAAAATTGTCTCTCATAATGGAATTTAGCATAATGAGTACATTTTCCTTTTTCAGAATGAGGTGATTGATGATGCAGAGAAATAGCTACTTGCCTCTGTGGTGAAATTAGCAAGGAAAAAACAGAAAGTCCTGGGATCTTTAGGGCAAAAATTTCCAATTTTCTAAAATTCTTTCTTTCCCGCATACTTATGCCTAGCTAAGGTAGTACAGACCAATTTTTAAGGTTAATAAGGATTGTACTAGTGTTTCTTTGAGAGAAATTAGGAACTACCTTTATAGAAAATCCCAAAGATAGGATTTGAAATTGGAAATGTTTTGCAGTGTAGAAAAGGTAAAGCTAGGATGTGACAGTGCCAGGCGCTCTGAGGTAGTCTGCCAGAGGGATGAGAATGTGGTAAGAGACAGATGGTTGGGTGTTGGCCATAGCACTGACCTGATAGGTAACTTCTGTGATCTTGGCCTCTGAGTCTCATCTGTAAAGTGGGGATGATGTTACTTACTTTCTTAGGCTTGTTGAGAGTTGCAGAGAATAGATGTGAAGATGCAAGAAGGCAGGAGGATTTGTAGGCAAGGAGATGTCATCTTGCATCAGTTTAGTGATACTGAATGCATTGCTTTTAGTTAGGATGTTTAAGGAGGGAACTTTAGGAGGTCTTTGCTGTTTGGTGACAGGTTAAAATTCCACCCCTGGTACAAAGCACTTTCATGACAGAAAACTAAGTGTAGATAACATCTCTGTCATACAGGTATATTTGTTTTAGTCAGATCAGTGAACAGAATTGTAGATACGGAAATATTTTTTAGATTTATTAAAATATTAATAATTTGTCAATACTTATTCATAGTACTGCAATTTTATTTGTTCTTCTACAACTTAAATGATAAGAAGCCACAGGATTTTTATTTAAAGGTTTTGTTGTTCTTACATGCTGTCAAGTTGCCTGCGACTCATAGCAACCCTGTTCAGATGGATCTGAACTATGTCCTATCCTGAGCCAGTCTTAATGTCTCCAGCCCCTATAATAATTCTCAGTGACTGTGTCAATCCATCCAGGGTCTTCCTCTCTTGTGCTGTCTCTCTGTCCTTCCAAGCATGATGTCCTTCTCTGAGAACTGGTTCCTCTGGGAAACATGCCCAAAATATGTGAGATGGAGCTTCAGAATTCTTGCTCCGGAGAGCAACTTCATTTTAACCCTCTGCAGGACAAAACTGTTTGTTCTCTTGGCCACACACAAAAGCATCAACTCTTCTTTTGTCATCCTTATTCATTTTCCAATTCTCTGACGCATAGCAAGTAATTGAGATTACCATGGCCTGGATCAGGCACACCTTAGTCTCTAGACTGACATCTTTTTCAACATTCTGGAGAGGTCCCTGACAGCAGACTTTCCTAATCCAAGAAGTGACTTTATTTTATATGTGACTCTCGGTCCTCATTCCCACTCATCTCCAAGCTTTATGCTTGTCTCCAAATAGGTGTTTTTAATCAGTTGTGTCTTTAAAGAAAGTTCAGTGTTTTGATTCTTTTTCATTCCTCACTGATTAAAAACCTAAGATCTTAACTCTGAAGCTACTAATATAAACCTCTTTGTTAGCCATCTATATAGCTTTTTCATAATTGACTTAAGACAGCCACTCTAATTTTAGATAATAAAACGTTCTCAAACTATTTTGTCTCAGGACCCTACATTGCTCTTAAAAATATTGAGGACCACTCTTTCCAGGCAGCGTGGTGCAATGGGCATCTCCCGGGACAGCTGGCACAAGCGCCGCAAGACCGGGGTCAAGGGAAAGCCCTACCACAAGAAGAGGAAGTATGGGCTGGGATGCCTGGCTGCCAACACTAAGATTGGCTCCTGCCGTATACATACAGTCCATGTGAAAGGAGGCAACAAGAAGTTCCGTACCCTAAGAATGGATGTGGGGAACTTCTCCTGGGGCCCTGAATGTTGTACTCGCAAAACAAGGATAATTGATGTTGTCTACACGCCTCCAGTAATGAACTGGTCCAAACCAAGACTCTAGTGATTAACTGCATCGTGCTCACTGACAGCACACCATATCACCAATGGTACGAGTCCCACTATGTGCTACCCCTGGGTTGCAAGAAGGGGGCTAAGCTGACTCCTGAGGAGGAAGAGATAAGCGATCAAGAAAATCAGAAAAAATACGATGGAAGGAAAAAGGATGCAAAAATCAGTAGTCTTCTAGAGGAGCATTTCCAACAGGGCAAGCTTCTTGCATATATTACTTCCCGGCCAGGCCAGTGTGGCCGCGCAGATGGTTATATGCTGGAGGACAAGGAGCTGGAATTCTATCTGAGGAAAATCAAGGCACGGAAAGGCAAATAAATCTCCCTCCCATTTTAGCACATGTATTAAAGGTGTTTATTTTAAGGGGTGAAAAATTGAGGACCTAAAAGGGCTTTTGTTTGTGTAGACTGTTGTTGTGTATCATGGAGTCAGAACTGACCCATAGCTGACCTTCCAGCAGGTTTTCAGAGGCAGTTAATCAAATGGGAGGAGACTGCCCATCCTTCTTCCACAGAGCATCTGGTTCATTCAAACTGTTTGTCTTCAGGATTGGTGACCACTAGGCCATCAGAACTCCCTTTACGCAGATTACAACCATTAATACTTACTTTATTCACACTTAGGAATTAAAATATTAGTTTAAATGAATAACAACAAACTCATTACATATGCAAATATGTTTAAGGGAGCTCTGGTGGCCTAGTGGCAAGAAGTTGCACTGCAATCCCAGATGTATTTGGTTCAAATCCACCAGATGCTCTGCTGGAGAAGGGAGGGGCAATCTCCTCCTGTACCAGTCAGATCTAATTTGATGGTACACACAAAAAATAATAAAAATTTAAAAAAAGAAAATATGTTTAATGAAAAATTAGAATGACAGTTACACATTTTTGCAAATACCTTGAATATCTAGCTTAAAATAGCGATGGAGTCTTTTATCTGCTTGTACATTCAGTGTGTGGCAATATTAGTGTTTTAGTTGGACAGTATTAACAGAATCCAACCACACACAGGTGTAGCTCGAAAAAATAGAGATATTAATGGTCTTTTCAGATAATTATGTTCTTGTTGATCCACTCCAAACCACTGAAGGTTAGCTGCAGTGTGGAATCCCAAATTATTGGTGGACTTTTGTACTCTTTTATATTGACATTCACTGGCTTATCTTGCACTTTGAATAGATCTTTACCCATGATTGTTTTGTAACATCACGCAGCAGTTGTTCAGAAAATATTGCATATTTCTCAAATGTTGATAAATTTAATTCTATAATGTAAAAAAAAATAACATTTGTTAAGATCACTTCCAACGTCATCAAAAAAGAATTGGGAAGCTGTCCTCCTCACACTGATGAATATAAATTTTAAAAAATTTATGAAAGCTTAGATTTTAATGACAAATGTTGCCACACTTATTTTACTTATTCCCAAAAAGACATCTGCCAAATACCTAGGCCCAAATAACTGCAGTTCCATTAACTATTTTTTAAAAATAGTGTTTTATGAGAAAAGTAGCTAACTCAAAACTCTTGGTGTTTTTCTCCAAAGTATCATTATGCTTACAAGGATAGAAGTGTACAAATGTTTTATACATACTTTCATTTCTTTACATAGACTAATATTATTAAAAAGATGTTTATCCAAGGGAGCTCTGGTGGTCTTGTGGTAAGAACCTGCGCTGCAGTCCCAAATGCATGTTTCTGCCAGCCGAGAAGGATGGGCAGTCTCTTCCTGTGAGATTAATTAACTGCCTCTGAAAACCCACTGGAGGGTCAGCTATAGGTCAATTCTGACTCTATGGTACACAAAACAGCACCAAGGATTGATATTTAATAAAAATCTAATTTTCAGTGATTCATTAAAGATGTTCCTAAGTGAAACAGGTGTTAGGATTTTATTGCCGGTAGGTCGCTATGAAGAAAATCTTGACACTTGAACAGTTTTAGGGGCTCTGGTGGCATACTGCATTACATATACAGCAGCTCAAAACCACTAGCTGCTCCATGGGAGATTCCTCCCATATTTATAGCCTTGAAAACCCTTTTGGGAGAGTCAGCCATGAGTTGGAATTTAGGGTAATAAGTTTTAGTATTTTGATGCCACTGCCTTGACCAAATTCATCAACAGGGCAAATGTCAGCATGGTGACAAAGGGAAATAATGTTAGTATTATTACAAAAATGGTTTTGGCATTTGTTGTTAAGTGCTGTCAAGTCACCTGCACCAAACCCTGCTCTGTCCTGTGCCAGTCTCACTCAGACACACCTACCCCCACTACCCTAGTCACTGAATCAATCCATCTCATAAAGGGTCTTCCTCTCCTGTGCTGGCCCTCCATCTTCCCAAGCATGGCATCCCTCTCCAAGGACTGATCCCTCCTTGCAACATGTCCAAAGTATGTCAGACGAAGCTTCAGAATCCTTGCCTCCAAGGAGCAGCCTGCTTTAACCCTCTCCAGGACAAACCTGTTTGTTCTCTTAGCAGTCCATGATATATTCTATACTCTTCTCCACCACCACAGCTCAAAGGCATCAATTCTCCTCACTAGTCATTGTCCAGGTCTCTGACACATAACAAGTTTGCAAAGACCAAGGCCTAGATGCGGTGCACCTTGGTCTCCAGAGTGACATCGTTGTTCTTCAGTACTTTGCCGAGGTCTCTGACAGTGGATTTTTGTATCTCAATACGTCTTTTAACTTCCTGGCTGCTGGTGCCAACAATGTTGATTGTGGAGCCAAGCAAACTGAAGCTGTCAACAATCTCAATCTCTTCACCATCTTATCATGATGCTGCCAATTGGCCTAGTGGTGAGAATCTTTGTTTTCTTGATATTGAGCCTCAATCCATATTGCAGACTGCCGTCCTAGACTTTCTGCAGCAAGCACTTCAGGTCCTCCACAGTTTGAGCAAGCACGGTTGTGTCATCTGCTGCATTATGCAGATGGTTGATGAATCTTCTTCCAATCCTGATGCTACATTTCTCCTCACAGAGCCCAGTCTCCCGGATAATCTGTTCTGCATATAGATTGAAAAGATATGGAGATAGGACACATCCCTGGTGTACACCCTTCTCAGTTTTGAACCATGCAGAGTTTCCTTGCTCTGTTTTGACGACTGCCTCCTGGTCCAAGTATAGGTTTTGTATTAGCACAATCAAGTGTTCTGGGATTCCCATTCTCAATGTCAGCCACAGTTTGTTGTGATCCACCCAAATGCCTTTGCATAATCAAACAGACATTCTTCTGCCATTTGGGGTATCCTAAAACTCAGAGGCTCTTAGAGGGACCACAGACCTTTGAGAATCACTGCTTTACCATTTGGGGTATCCTAAAACTCAGAGGCTCTTAGAGGGACCACAGACCTTTGAGAATCACTGCTTTAATGCATGCTTTTAACATCACTGAGACTTTTTCCCTCCGGGATTGTAATTCAGAGAGCAAATATTCCATCAGAAATCCTGAGCGATTTCAAAACTCTTCATACAACCAAAGCACCTATTATGTGTCAGGTACTATGTTAAACCACTGCTGTCTAGTCAAGTCCAGCTCAGAGTGACCCTGGAGGACATACAAGAACTGCCCCATAGGGTTTACATTACTAATCCTTTATAGTTCTTCCTCAGAGAGGCTGGTGAGTTCAAACTGCTAACCTTTCCTTTAGTAGCAAAGGGCCTTAAACACTGTGCCACCAGGGCCCTTAAGGCACCGTGTTAGGCTAAAAGAAGGCATTTTTATTCTCCAAGAATCTTCATTATCTATGTGTGCCTCTGATAACTCACAACCAACTCTGCTTGACACCAGGTGTTGTGGTGTCATACTTAGAAATATTCTAGTTTCTCTTTCTTTGGTTTTTGTTGCCCCCTAATTCATATTTATAGATGTGTAGTCTTGAGGCATTGAAACTGACGATGCATTTTTATTTCTTTTACTTAGCTGCTTAAATTTATGCTTTCCCCAGCTGTGATGTAACAGTACTCACTCTGCCCCACAAGTCAGGGCAATAGAGGCACTTAGGAGGCTGCTCTGGAAGGAAATCTTTTCTGAGGCAGTGAAAACTTGAAGAAATAGCGGCAGTTCTGTTTCTCTTTAGTCTCGGGCCACTCCTACCAACTCAGATTGCCTAAACCCCATGACAGGAACACTTCACTTTATGTTTGAGAACTTTCACCTGGCCGGGAGGCATGGGAATAGGGAGGCTTTACACCGAACAGTTGAACCGGGTCATCAGTGGCAACAGCCAGACACGTGTTCGCTGGTTTGGGAGCGAATAGTAAATTTGGCCAGCGCTGCTCCCCATGTTTCGGTGGCTGCTGATTTAGGAACGACAGTTTAAAAGAACTGAGTCTTTCCGCAGAACAAAAACATACAGAATGGCTCTTATCTGCCCTACTCTCCCATTGTAAAGAGATGTTATAGCGTACCAAGGATAGTGCAGGAAATCAATATAAAATTCCATCACTGTTTCTTCGGATGAGAGGTTCAGAAAAGGGGCGGAGATGAGCTCAGAAGAGCCTCTGGCCCTTTAAGGAGGAGGGACAGCCCCAAGACTCTGCACCTTTAAGAGCCTCTTTGTCTGGAAACCTCCTTATTTACCCTCCTGTTCTTCAACCAAACTTCGACCTGCCATTCACAAAGCCCCTCTACGCCGCCGCCCCTTACGCCAGGCTCTGTTCGACCGTCCGTTTGTGGCTGACCCTAAACTTTGCGTCCGCGGCGCGAAACCTCCGAGAGGTGGCCGGGTCGCGGCCCAGCGCTGCGCCGTTGGCGCAATGCAGGGCTGGAGGGGCGGGGCCTCGACGGGCGGGCCAATGGGCGGACAGGGGGCGGGGCCGTGTTCGGTTGTCTCGCGCCCTGGTGACAGCTCGCGCGTGCTGATGATGGCGGTAAATAGAAGGGGGCCAGGGGAGGGGGAGTGGAGGAGGTGGGGAGGCGGTAAAGGGGGTAGCTCCAGGGGGTGGGGGGACCGGGGTCGGGGAGGCAGCGCGACCGAGGAACCCATTCTGAGACTCGGAGGCGGGGACAAGAGTCTCCGGCTGGCTAGCCCTCCCCTTTAAAGAAGCAAAATCCACACACACCGGGTGAGGGGCGACAAAGGCGGCGCGCGCCTGGCGGGCGGGAGGAGCGGCGGCAGGGGGCGGGACCGCGGTGCCGGCGGGCTGGGGGCGCC